TATTAATATTTCTTCAATAAAGAAACGATAATTAAGTAAAGTAACACAAACGTTGATTCATATTTTTACACCACCTGTGTTATTAGCATAAATGTAAAGACTATTTCAGATTTCTGTTGTTGAACTCTGAAAAAATCCTAAATTGTTGTTTTGGTACCATATTCTCTCCTGTAAACTTACCTTTAAATGCATTGGAATGTTAAAGCGATTGAAATAAAAATTAGGTATACTATAGGCGAGTTGATATATTGACAACATAGTGCATTTATCACCTTTATCAAAGTATAAGGCTAAAAAAATTTTTCTAGCATTTCCGACAGTACTTTATGTGTGCGAGAAAGAATGGAGACGGCACAGCACAGGTTATAGCTAAGATACAGTGAACGCAATGTATCTTAGCTACACAGGTTAATGAATCAATGACTTTGTCGGCACTTGTGCACGTGCTTCACTTACACCTGGTTGTTCCTCCCTTTGCAGTCCTCCCTCGTAACAAATAGTGAACTGTGTCAAAATTTTAATGATAGTTTGTTAAACAACTTTATCATTTTTAGATCATAAATTCTGCAAAAATATCACAGTGTTGGTCTGATGTAATGATTATGATCAGTGTTTCATTGAGTATTCTATGTTTAGTTGTTTTCGAGTTTCCGATTGTGTGCCAAACGGACTATAACCCAAACAATCAAATGATAGCGGCTACCGAAAACCGGACAGTAGAATTAGTACGTGTAAATTGTGCCTGGCAACGACAAGGTATGCGAGAAATACGTTAAACATAGTCACCTTTCCTTAAATAATGTCTCAAGCTGTATGTTGTGATTGTTATCAGCGATTATGTCCACTCGTTGTTGTAGATATTACTTACAAGTATTCGTCTGCAGACCGTGTGCCTCTCAATCAAGGGACGTAACTCGTGGCTTTTCTTTACAATCGACAGTTTTCCCCTGCATTTATTGCATGATTGCTTTACTCAATGAACGAGGACGTTCAAACTGAATCTGATCATATAAAAAAGTAAGTCATGAACATTGCTGTTGGCTGTAAACCATCCCAGCTAATTAATAACATTTTCATAAGGTTTAAAAATAGTGTTCTTAAGTGTTTTCGTGGAAATGTTTTAAACATGTTTCATTATTTTAAATGCTCATATACTGAAGATGTGTTTTGCAAGTATATTTTGTTTTCTAACTGATTCCTAATAAAGCTTAATTTGTTTTCTGATTGTCTTCTTAGTATAAGCCTTGATTAATACTTATCTAAACTAGCAACCATCTGCATTCATCTCAGTGGTGTGTGGAGGATTTTGGTTTGAGATGAGAATGTATTTAAGAATAAATCCCCATTATGGTGGCATAACCTTGGTTGCCAGCAAACTCTGGCCCTTTCTTATAATTTGTTATGTTGTGTTCTTAATAGGAGAATATTGTACATGCTTTCTGACTAGTTTAAAATAAAATATGTGATAATCAGGTTGATATACTGCTCATCGACAACAGGATTTTCTCACATCATAATATTGCTGAAATATTGCCAATTTAACGTCAAATGTCACTTAAATAAAAATGAAGTGGACACATATGCATTGACTATTCAGCAGATAGCAAAGTTTTGAAGATATACACATCTTTTTGGTGAAATCTGTTTTTGTGATTGCCCCTTAAAATTATTCAGTGTATATTTTTCTTAAGCCTTTATGAACTGGCACACTTACATTTATTGTGTGCGAGTCTGGTGATTTATGCCCCTTTAAACAGTGCTCCATGTATATTAGAGCGAGTAAGTGAGGTGAAATGGGTTTTACGTCGTGCTTGACAATATTTCGCTCATATGACGATGTGCATGCATGTTTATGTGTAGCTGCTGGTACTAGCCCAGACATAAGCTGGTTCTATAGTGCTAGCTCACTGAGATACCATGCTGCAGTTAAGCATGAATACCCCACTCAGACACATTATACTGACTCCGAGCTGACCAGTCCTTGTTGTACCCATTAATGCTGATCGCCAGGTGGGACCAACAAGTACCATCTTTTGGTATTATGCGGTCGGGAATCGAACCCGCGACCTGCCGCTCTCCGGGCGAGTAGGCTTGTTATGAGTCCTTTGACTGATAAAAAAAGACAAAATGATTGGAAACCATGTTGATTTTATGATGGTAATTGCTTGTTTAAAAGACCCCACTGATTTTCAAACAATACCATGTCTGTATAAGTATGGCCCTGGAATGTTTATTGTTGAATTTATTGGTGAATATGAACATTCAAAATGTCATTTTGTGTATCTTACACGATTCAAGGTCAATACCGAGTGTAACCTCCATGTGACTGTATGACAGGCAGCACTCTCTCCTCCTCATACTTCCAGTCAGCCTCCTGATCCTCTGAAGGGGCAGTCTACGCCATTCCTCATGTAAAGCAGCTTCCAATTGGGCCAGGTTCTGTACAGGAGGATCGCTTTGTTGCACGACTACCAATTATGTCTCAGATATGATGCAAAGGGTTAAGATCCGGGCTTATGCTATCGTGAGATGTGTCTGGGAGAGCTTAACTTAGTTCTTTGTGTATATCTTGGAGTTTGGGTGAAATGACCGATGCTTTCAAAGAGAACATTATTATAGGTCCCTCAGTTACATGTAATCACAACCTCGTAAGAATGCAAGATTTACGTCCAGTAACTAACTGAGAAAGAATATTATGACAAATATATGAAGTGAGATTCCTTAGGGCATATGAAATACTATGACAAACAGCATAAAAGGTACAAATTTCAACATTTATTTACAAAAGGATTATCACAATAACAATATGCAGTGAAGTAAGCCAATGAAATAAAACATTAAAAAACAATGGAATACCAATGGACATTTATTGCAGCTTACACAATATGATGAAATGTATGTCTGACAGTACGTCACTCAGATGAGAGAGATGGGTTTTACAACCTACTTTCAGAACCATTCCAGCAATATCCTGACAGTGTGCCAATAGGAAACCTCGTCTCACTCAGCCCAAGAAGACAAGTAACTATTAATCTGTACACATTTACTGACACAAGTATGGATGGGCATTTTCAATGAATATGACACTTGAGTGAGTTGGTTTAATGCTGCTTTGAGCAGAATTCCAGATATATCATGGCAGTTATAGCCAGTTACATTATGTCAGTTGACTATGGCAGTTATGTCTCAAGTGATAATGCTCTTAGACACAAGTGGCTTTAGAGATGCCCATAATAGTACTGTGAGAATAAAAACACCCTTTCTTTTGAACACCATTGCGACATATGTTGTTTGAAGTGTTTCCGAGGTGTGATACAAGCACTTTGTGTTATGGCTGTAAGTCTCTGCTGCTTATATTAAGCATGCAAATGTAACAAGATGAGGGCCAGAATAAATTAGTTACATTTTCCTGCCCACCTTACTAAACACACTACCTAATATAAACATAGTGTCCCAAGTACCTTCAGACCAAGACAGATGTGCCCTTTTTTCTTTACTTCATGAAGACACCAAATGCATTCAAGCTTTTTGTAAATCACATGCATGAACAGTTAACATACACAGGTGCCTTGAACAGCGGTTCTAAAATGTAAGCAAAATCACTAAAAATAAAACATTTCTTGCTTCATTGTTTAGAACAACGTTAGGAGATAACCCTAGCATGTTTACAAACTTTAATTATCCTTTAAATTTCATTTCAAAACATAACATGAATAGGTGTCAAATCCTTGTTTGCAGCCTCTAAATTGACTACACACTAGGGTTATCCAGGGCTGGAAATAACCCATTGCCCGACGTCCGAGTCCAGTGTTTTTTTCTGTCGGGCAAGCAAATTCGTATATCACACTGTACCGGCGTCCATTTGACTTTCCAATATTAATTATGTTGTTTATTTAAAAAATTCAACAAGAAAACAGCCGGTATAGTGGAAAAATTATCAGGGCAAGTGATTTCACATGTGCCACTGTACCGGAGTACACTAGCAATTTTAAAGTTATTTCCAACCCTGGTTATCTCCATTCCACCAAGACCAAACAAAAGTATAGTCTTTGTTTAAAATGAACATTCTTCATGCATCTGGGCTTTCACAAAGCACTAAGGTGATTGTAAGTCACTAAGGTAACCTTAGTGCAATGTTCAAGAATGGGAGTTAAGGTTAACCTTAGTAAAGGATGCTTCGTGAAAGGAGTCCCGGGTTGAGAGGGCACTTTCAAGGATCAGTAAAGTACAGCTTGCATTGCAAACCATTAGTTTCACCATAACACTTGAATCATTTCAGTGAGACACAAAAATATCAAACGACAGATATCCTGTGAGTAGGGCTGAGAAGAGTCACCGATGCATCGCGATACATTTAAGTTTGATACAGCTATCGTATCATGGGCTGGTGTATCGATACAAAATGATACACATTTTTTTTTCAAAACAGTATTATCTTAAACATGTTACAGTACTTCTTTAGAGAAAAATACGCAAATATGTTGGTTATTACAACAGTGTTATTGTTAAACACAAATACCATGAAATATATCATATTAAATCTTGATACCGTGTCATTCTTTGAAGGTGTATGTATAGTGACACGTATCGTATAGCAGGTAAAATATCGCGATATGTATCGTATCGTGACATAGTGTATCGCCCCAGCCCTACCTGTGAGTATCCCTCAAAATGACATCCCAAATAAAATAAAGGACTAGGGTGGCTTCAAGATTGCACAGTTGTATCTTGCACCTAAGTCGACTGGGCCAAAAGTGCCTCCCCAATACATAAAACTGAAGCTGCCTTTTGCAGTTTAGTTCTGTGACATACACACAACTATGATGCCTTAATGAGGGTCTATAGAGTCTAGGCATTATCACATAGAAGGCAGGACATCACAGTACGTGAAAGTGAGGCACCAAATGGCCAGTCGTGTTTATGTCAAAGAATGTTCCAGTACACTTTACATGTATTTGTTTTCAGGTTTTCTGAATGAAACATATCACCACACTTATAAATAATGTATGTACCACAACTTTTTACTCAGCAAACTCAAAGAAGTAAGAATACAGTTTGAAATTGAAAAACAGTTAAGTTTGTCAAAGAAGTGATTCTGAATATTTTCTTTGCAATAATGCAGTCATAAGCAAGATCATGATCTGACATAGATTTGATACAACTGGTGGATGAATCAGAACGGAAGATCCAAAATGTCCTGATAGAATATGTCCTTTGTTGTTCATGACATCACTATGTCATGGCATAAAGTCACCTGAACCAGGACAGTTTCTCTGGGGTTGTTGTGTCACACATTTTCCTTCATATCCTCAAAAACAAGATAACAATGAGGTTCAGGGTTTACACCATTCATACACCTGGGATGTAATCCATAATCTGTTGTACCTGGCTTGTTGTTCTCTAAACACAAAAAGGGCCGGTGGGGTAGCCTAGTGATTAAAGCGTTCGCTCGTCATGCCAAAGACCCAGGTTCGATTCCCCACATGGGTACAATGTGTGAAGCCCATTTCTGGTGTCCCTCGCCGTAATATTGCTAATTAAGTGACATGTAACTAAACTCGCTCACTCACTAAACACAAATGACCATTACATGTAGACTCCTGTCCATAAAGTAAAACGAAAATCATGAGATCAATTTGAAATGAATCTGGGTACTATACAACTTCCATCTCTCAAATTTTGTGAATATAACATGGAAAATGAAACATGCATTCCAACCCTCAAACCCCCCTTCTGCATTGCAGTTTATCTTAGCTTATGGCATGAACGAGATGTGCTTGATGAGGGCCTTTTTGCAGCTCCAATATGGGCTCACAAACACGGATGTGAAAGTAGTAGACACTGGAAGCAGAACTGGCTACAGAAGTATGTGTAGATCAAGTCAGCAGTGTGCATAGCTTTATTCTATTGCTATGAATATATGTTAGTTCCAGGCAACAATCCGCAGCTGGGCTTTAAACTCTGTGGCTGTCATCTTTGGATATCAACATCCATACCCAAACATACCCACGTATTGTATTGGTCATTAGTAGGGTACTTCATGGTGTCGTGCACTGCGCATTCAATTCATTGCTTTCATTTCTGAAAGTAGTTTATTTAAATGCATAACTAGTTATGTTTCAACCCTGTTAATCTAACATTAATATTTCATATTACTATCAATCATTCATCCTCTGTATCAAAATATATTATTATCCCATGATATTATCATTTACAGATTGCATGTTCTGCATGGTAACAGTCTGTGGTCAGAATGGTCAATCCATTCTCTATCAACACTGAGATGTCACATTCAACCACGTCCTGGAGACGGTGTGACACCAGGTGGGTCAGCCCTCCTGGTAGTCATGTTTATACTGGGGGTGTGTCGTGTAGCCCAACAAGTGACCGTTTATAAGGCACTGAATCACCCACTCCGTGGAGACCAGGGGTATTTTGAGCTGCTTGGCTTGGTGGAGTACTGACGATGGGCAGTCTGAATCAGTGACAATAACATTCACCGAATCTTCTGAAACAGATGGACACATTACAGCATGGCTGGAGACGGACACATTACAGCATGGCTGGAGACAGACACATTACAGCATGGCTAGAGATTGACACATTACAGCATGGCTAGAGATGGACACATTGCAGTGTGGCTAGAGATGGACACATTACAGTGTGGCTAGAGGTGGACACATTACAGCGTGGCTACAGACCAACACATTACAGCATGGCTAGAGACAGACACATTACAGCATGGCTAAACAGACACATTACAGCATGGCTAGAAACGGACACTTTACAGTGTGGCTAGAGACACACACATTACAGCATGGCTAGAGACGGACACATTACAGTGTGGCTAGAGACAGACACATTACAGCATGGCTAGAAACGGACACATTACAGTGTGGCTAAAGACAGACACATTACAGCATGGCTAGAGACGGACACATTACAGCATGGCATGGCTAGATGGCTAGAGACACATTACAGCATGGCTAGAGACAGACACATTACAGTGTGGCTAGAGACAGACACATTACAGCATGGCTAGAGACAGACACATTACAGTGTGGCTAGAGACGGACACACTACAGCATGGCTAGAGACAGACACATTACAGTACAGTGGCTAGAGACAGACACATTACAGTGTGGCTAGAGACGGACACACTACAGCATGGCTAGAGACAGACACATTACAGTGTGGCTAGAGACAGACACATTACAGTGTGGCTAGAGACGGACACACTACAGCATGGCTAGAGACAGACACATTACAGTGTGGCTAGAGACAGACACATTACAGTGTGGCTAGAGACGGACACACTACAGTGTGGCTAGAGATGGACACATTACAGCATAGCTGGAGACGGACACATTACAGTATAAGGAAGATATGGACTGATCCCTAACGTTTGTATTCATTGGCATGTGTGGGTGCAGTAAGTTACTGTACGAAGATACTACTTTATTTACCTAAGAAGAAAGAACACATTCTTACAGTCAATTGCAAGTCAAGATTTCAACACTTTTTAAAGGCAAAATCCTTGATTCATGGATTTTTTATTCATCCCATTCAAATCCACTTAATCACCTCTAATTTGAAAAGAAACTCTAAATTTCAAAAAATTTAATTCAATCAGTTTAAGAGCTTCAAATTCTCTATAGCAAGAAGACAACAGATACTCCTCTCCACCCTAAGGACGTCAGTTTCCTTCCTTCAGCAGAAATAGAATGCCTAATTTGTTTCCTTCATGTTCACCCACAATGCACAATTAAAACACATTTACCCATTGCCTTATATGCAACAAATCATTGAGGTCAAGCAACAATGCTGCCTATCTTGGTCAGGAACAAAGTCCTAGTGACACATCATTTATCAAACTAATTCTGACAATAGATGGCAAATAAGAAACATGAGTTGCAAAAAATGGGACACAGTATCTTAAGTGACAAAATAAAATGGAAAAATAATAGCAATACTTATCATGAAGTTAATAAACGAAGGGTTCCATACAAATGAAATCCCAGCATTTAATTTTATGGACTTTCAGCAGTTTTGTTAATTTCAAGCACTTTCCAAGTTTGTATCAATCCTGGAGCATGTATGTCATTACTGGCTGAGATACAATATCAACTTATGTTATTTGGGAAGGTAATCAATTCAACAAGTGACAAATGATGACACTGGTACTTGGTATTTATTATAAAGACGCTAATAGGCTGGATAAAATCAAATGTTATAGGCTGGATAAAACTCAAATGTTATGAGATAAGGCAGTGTTTTCCATGATATAGGGGAGGTAACTCTTTCAAAAAACACTCTATGAACCTTTCATTATTCAGAAAGTTGAAAAATCAGAGTGAAAGGGAAACAATCATAACCTGTATAAGGAGCGGATAGAGCGTTTTGAAAAAGTGGGATGCACAGTTCATTTTCACCTGTTTTCATGGTAGTTCCAATGGTCATTTAATAAACTTTCAGGACAAACGGGGGATGGAGGGATTGCGTGCACCCACTCTAGATCCGCCTATGTGTATAAACACTTAATATTCAACAGATTCACTGATATTTCATTCCGGAAAAAACTGTTGAGATTAGTTGTGTCATTTCACTCAAGTTCAACAATGCTAAGTACTGTCGGAAATAAAAAAACCCTGTTTTTAGGCTGTTACTCTGTATCCCTAAAATTTACACAATTGCAAATAGCATATGTCGAAATAACCCACTTCGGCCTAACTGGGCGTTCAGTGGGATGCGTAATACGATATCCAGAAAAGCATGTTTACTCGTAAAATCGGGCAAAACTTTGAAAAAACCCCGAATAGCTGCCGAAAGCAATAGATCAGACTATAGATGGCAAGTAGGTCGCTCAGCCAGGTATGACGACGGACCGTCGACTCACCTGGCATGAAATGCACGTGCTGCCAACAGGCACAAGGGGTCATCTCAAAGATATTTTGTGCTTTTTCATGTGTGTTGACTATGTCTCATCTATTGATTAACATCTAACGTGTCTTTCTTTCATATAGTTTCATATAGTTTATGTTGAGATTTGTAAAAGAGTATGATACCCGAAAACCATAGAAACGCATTGTATATAGGTGGCATGACACCCGAAGATCGACAGGACTGGATATTATTTGTAAATTGTTTTGACGTGCCGTGTACCTCCCCAGTATAATTGGCCTAAAGGATTATCTTATCTTAGCTGATATCTCTATCCCCAAGCCCGACCCCAGTATTTGCTTTTGAGACGACCCCTCCTATCTGTTTCTTTTTATAGTGACAGTGAGACTGCATGGTAGCTACATCCTTAATAGTTTCGGCATAAAAGTTATTATTTTTTACGTCAGCTATCGTTTATAATCAATCTACGTCTAATTTCAATTAGAAATGAATCTACGTCTAATTTCAAATTGGGCATTTAAAAAGTGTCCTTTGTAATACAATATCGTCGCACACTTATTTGCATAAAGCCATGGTCTGTTCCAAATAAGTCTTTTTGGACTTAGAAAAAAACCGCATTGCTCATTTCTGCACTAATTTCCCCTCAGTAAAGTCCCTTTTTTCCGTTTCCTATCTCTCTACCACTGAGACTGTAGTTAGGCCGAACTAAGATTAACAGATATTTCACACTTTCACATATCAACTACATAAATTGTAGAGATAAATGAGAAAATACAGTTGTTTTCTATTTCCGACAGTACTATAGTAACTCAATCCCCACCTGTTTTGTTCTTGATGGGCAATCTGTTGACCAGGTGACACCTGGAGATGGTCAGTATTGACCGCCAAGTATCCTGGAACTTGACATTAGTGGATGCCACCATCACCTGAAGACCTCCAAGACAGCTGCCGCCAGGGTTCCTGCAGCCAACAGTATCAGTAGTTACTGCTAGGTCTGTTTCCATTTAATTAACATGTAAAAACTGTTAAACAGTATTTCAAGCATACCAACATGCTGTGAATAGTCTAGCATGATTAGAAGGTGTACTAGATCATGCTATACTTGGGGTCTTCACAGAAAAACAAGGTTTGCAGAGGGTAGGTGAAATCTGATGGCAGCTGAAACAAGTTTGCATAGGATCCATCCCTATATAACAAGCTACTGCTGCTGTACAAACGTGTTGCCCTCCTTTGTCAGATCCTCATGCACAGAGTTGTCACATTGGAATATGAGATCTGAATTGAATCAGGCTGAACATTTAATGAGTACGGGACAATACCCTCTGTAAGGAAGGGCCTCTTCACAGACTCTCTTGACAATACTGGTACCCATCCCTACCACAGGGCCGATACAAAGTGTCTTTCCCATACCCATCCTTACCACAGGTCCCAACACTGTGTCTTTACCAAACAGTACACACTCCTATATATGGGCCAGTACAACATATGTAGAATGAGTGACAGGGACACAAAGGCAGCGCATCACTCACCATTCCATGAGTTTCCTTCTCTCCAGACTGATGCCAGCGGGCAGGATGTATGCCTTGTGATCCAGCAGCCTGCCCTGGTGAAACATAACACATACCGAAGACATGACATACTCACAGACATTTCTCCTCCCACCTCTTAGAGACGCCTACCTCTGTACAGGAGTGTATGATCCACTGATGGGACACACAAGGGGTGCCTACCTCTGTACAGGAGTGTATGATCCACTGATGGGACACACAAGGAAAGCCTACCTCTGTACAGGAGCGTATGATCCACTGATGGGACACACAAGGAAAGCCTACCTCAATACAGGAGTGTATGATCCACTGATGGGACACAAGAGATGCCTACTTCTGTACAGGAGTGTATGATCCACTGATGGGACACACAAGGAAAGCCTACCTCAATACAGGAGCGTATGATCCACTGATGGGACACACAAGGAAAGCCTACCTCAATACAGGAGTGTATGATCCACTGATGGGACACAAGAGATGCCTACTTCTGTACAGGAGTGTATGATCCACTAATGGGACACACAAGGAAAGCCTACCTCAATACAGGAGCGTATGATCCACTGATGGGACACACAAGGAAAGCCTACCTCAATACAGGAGCGTATGATCCACTGATGGGACACACAAGGAAAGCCTACCTCAATACAGGAGTGTATGATCCACTGATGGGACACAAGAGATGCCTACTTCTGTACAGGAGTGTATGATCCACTAATGGGACACACAAGGGGTGCCTACTTCCATACAGGAGTGTATGATCCACTGATGGGACACAAGAGATGCCTACCTTTGTACAGGAGTGTAGGATCCACTGATGGAACACACAAGGGGTGCCTACCTCTGTACAGGAGTGTATGATCCACTGATGGGACACACAAGGAAAGCCTACCTCAATACAGGAGCGTATGATCCACTGATGGGACACACAAGGAAAGCCTACCTCAATACAGGAGTGTATGATCCACTGATGGGACACAAGAGATGCCTACTTCTGTACAGGAGTGTATGATCCACTAATGGGACACACAAGGGGTGCCTACTTCCATACAGGAGTGTATGATCCACTGATGGGACACAAGAGATGCCTACCTTTGTACAGGAGTGTAGGATCCACTGATGGAACACACAAGGGGTGCCTACCTCTGTACAGGAGTGTATGATCCACTGATGGGACACACAAGGAATGCCCGCTGCTAGACACTGAAAGTACTTGACCGTTCTCTGGAACGTGCTTGCCACTAGGTAGGCCTGGGATGCTGCTTCAACCTTCAAACACACAAAACACATTGTGCCAAGAATGTTCAATTACATTCTCGAAAGTTCAGTGTGCACAATCTCCATTCCATAATGATAAATACACAGAACCCATTCCTCAAACATATATTTTTCAAGATTTTACCCAGTGGTAAAGACAGGTGCCCAATCACATTTTAGTGTCCTTTCACAACTGATACGAGCACCAGTGGAATGTCTTGAAGAAAAAGACTTCCTACCCTGTCGTACTCATAATTTTATATTATTCATAACAATATTCTGATTCAAAATTATATACCGAGTGTGCACTTTAACTGGATGTTCAGAACAGTGAACAAGTGTCTATTCACACTATTCCTTGCATTTGTTCTGTGTGGTTCTATACAGGTATCTCAGCTTGTGATTGAATGAGGTAAAGAACAGTATTCTAGTCCTATCACAGTGTGCATGATGGTGGAGAAAAATGATGCATGAACCCAACCACCCATCCTTGATAATCTCCAGGGTATACATTATGATAACTCTCCACTATACCCTGGATGCATCCACGGCATGATTTTATTACCTCCCTTGGCTGGCTCCACATTCTCACAGTAGCCAATCAGCTAAGCCGCCGTTACAACCGAGCTTGCCAGTGTCAACAAGGATAGAGGTCACAGTCACGAAGGTTCGTTCGCAGTGCCACTCAGATTTTTAGGGAAATAATAAAGACAAATTGACAGATCTGAAACTTTAAGAAAATATATGACAGAACTCCTTCTACTTCTTTCAGAGTACCTCTGCATCAATTGTGTTGCCAAGTTTAAATGGTTAGATAATTTAAGAAGCGAAAGTGAGTTGTGATTGGTACGCTTAACTTCCCAGCGTAGACACCTGATTGGATAAAAAGCCAGCCAAAGGGAGGTAATAAAATCATCGCCCAAAGCCGTGGATGCATCCAGGGTATAGTGGAGAGTTATCGTAACGCATACCCTGGAGATTATTGAGGATGCCAACCACCATACTTCAGTATTCTTTCCATCCTGAGAAGGGCAGCTTGCCATTACCTGTGCATGGTTGTACTTCTCCAGGACAATGCCACCAGCCGCCTCGATGTTTGTTCTCAGACTCTCCTTGTCAAAAGCAATGCTTGCTTCTTCTAAAACAGAAATTTGCACTAGATTTTAACAAGAACTTTTAATTTCAATTCCATATTTCTAACAGCATTAGCAACAATCTTACAGACACCCAGTTCAACACCTACCATCAGTGCCACTCTCTTCAGTAGAAGTTTCCAGGCTGGAGTCTTGGAGGAGTTTCTTCTCTTGCAGTTTCTGTTCTGCGCTCTTGTCCACGTGAGTGAGGAGGAACACCATGCCCTGGAACAGGTAGGGAGAACACGCCTGACCGCCCATCTTGGTTTTGTCGAAGAGACCTGGTAGAGAAGTCATACATCGAGGTGTACTCAAACTTCAGTGTGAGACAAGAGATACATTCCTTAGTTCCCTAAACCTTGTTTAAACTGCTCGTAATTAAAATTGAAGTCCACCACCATATTCTTGTAAACTAAGACACAAATAACCCTTGCTAACACATAACTGTTTGGCCAGAAGTCTCAATTTGTCACTAAGTGGAGGATCTAGTTTAAAATCGATGTGAGCTGTTTGTCAAATTATATTTCATACGATCAGTGGATAAGCCAAAGATTTTGTTACTATTATTCTTCTTAACTTCTGTTGCATGCCAAGACTGTATGTAGTCATATCAGTAATGTTTTAGACAGAAAAGATACAAATACAACTCACCAACTCGGACTCTGCGGGCTCGACCCCTGCTCTCTGACGGCGAGTCTACAGCTCCTACCATACCTGACGTGGTCGGTGTCACTACAACATCAACCCATGAACTATCAAACATGAAAACATCCACATCCAAACATTCCTGGTCTAATTCCTGCAGGACACGACATGCATGCGTCATTATACAGTCTGAATATTTCACTGTTTACAACCACAAATGGCACATCCCAGCTATATGACAAGATGAATCCAGAGAGCAGTGACCCATAGTATCAGGGTCACCTATTATCAACCAAGTCCACCCAATCACACAGGTCCGGCACAGGTTGTAACCTAGCATCAGGTTCCTACTCACTTCTTACAACAAGTAGTTGATTTCATTCTACCCTGGTAGGTCCCAATGTTTTGAAAGTATCAATGGAAGATAGCGAGTGAGTGAGTTTAGGTTTACGCCGCACTCAGCAATATTCCAGCTATATGACGGCGGTTGTAAATAATCGAGTCTGGACCAGATAATCCAGTGATCAACAGCATGAGCATCGATCTACGCAATTGGGAACCGATGACATGTGTCAACCAAGCCAGCAAGCCTGACCACCCGATCCCCACTGAAAGATACGTGCAAATTACAATATTTAGTGTTTTCTTTACAAGTATTCAGACCAGATTTGTTTCCAACACTTCCTCTTGTTGGAAACCAGAAGCACTGCGCATCATTTGTCATAACCTGTACACTTCAATCATGGTTCTAGAACACATAAAAACAAGAAGACAAAGTCATCAATATCCCCCGCAATGGCAAAATATTCTTCATGATTATGTCTACGAGTTATGATTATACACATGTCAAATATTTAGGTGTGTATATAGAAAAGTGGAAGGGGGTATTGAAAGGTTTTTAAAGTTCTGCTCCAGAGAGAAGAACTATCACCAATTTCAGTCAAACTTGTTGCCATGGAAATGCCAAAAATATTTTATTCAGAATTCCAAAACTACCAAAAGGCACCAGTACACAACCAGACCAATCTATGTGCCAAGTTTGGTGAAGAAACATTGAACGGTTTTAGAGTTCTGCTCCGGAAAAGAGCACTACTACAATTTCAGGCTAAGTCAAACTTGTTGCCATGGAAACGCCAAAAATATTTTATTCAGAATTCCAAAACTACCAAAAGGCACCAGTACACCACCAGATCTATCTATGTGCCAAGTTTGGTGAAGAAATATTGAACGGTTTTAGAGTTATGGTCCGGAAAAGAGCACTACCACCAATTTCAGTCTAAGTCAAACTTGTTGCCATGGAAACGCCAAAAATATTTTATTCAGAATTCCAAAACTACCAAAAGGCACCAGTACACCACCAGATCTATCCATGGACCAAGTTTGGTAAAGAAATATTGAACGGTTTTAGAGTTCTGCTCCGGAAAAAGCACTACCACTAATTTCAGTCAAAGTCGAACTTGTTGCCATGGAAACGCCAAAAATATTTTATTCAGAATTCCAAAACTACCAAAAGGCACCAGTACACCACCAGATCCATGTATGTGCCAAGTTTGGTGAAGAAATATTGGACGGTTTTAGAGTTCTGCTCCGGAAAAGAGCACTACTACAATTTCAGGCTAAGTCAAACTTGTTGCCATGGAAATGCCAAAAATATTTTATTCACAATTCCAAAACTACCAAAAGGCACCAGTACACCACCAGATCTATCTATGTGCCAAGTTTGGTGAAGAAATATTGAACAGTTTTAGAGTTATGGTCCGGAAAAGAGCACTACCACCAATTTCAGTCTAAGTCAAACTTGTTGCCATGGAAACGCCAAAAATATTTTATTCAGAATTCCAAAACTACCAAAAGGCACCAGTACACCACCAGATCTATCCATGGACCAAGTTTGGTAAAGAAATATTGAACGGTTTTAGAGTTCTGCTCCGGAAAAAGCACTACCACTAATTTCAGTCAAAGTCGAACTTGTTGCCATGGAAACGCCAAAAATATTTTATTCAGAATTCCAAAACTACCAAAAGGCACCAGTACACCACCAGATCCATGTATGTGCCAAGTTTGGTGAAGAAATATTGAACGGTTTTAGAGTTCTGCTCCGGAAAAGAGAAATGTGTACGCACGGACGGACGGACTGACGGACGGACTGCATAGCAAAACGCTTTGCGGGGGATAAAAACACTGATTTTGTGTGCATCAGATTATACCTTGCATTCATCAAACCATCTCATAGACAGCTGAACATAAATTGATATCAGGCTGTTGTACAAATCAAATCTTAGCGCTACAACACTTGTATGTCTATATCATGATGTGGGAGTTACAATGACCTTAGTGCTACAACAGTTGAAAGTCGATATCATGATGTCGGAGTTAAAATGACCTTAGAGCTACAACAGTTGTAAGTCTATATTAAGATGTGGGAGTTACAATCACCTGAGCGCTACAACAGCTGCAAGTCTATATCATGATGTCGGAGTTACAATCACCTTATCGCTACAACAGTTGTGAGTCTATATTAAGATGTGGGAGTTACAATCACCTTAGCGCAACAACAGTTGTAAGTCTATATTAAGATGTGGGAGTTACAATCAACTTAGCACTACAACAGTTGTAAGTCTATATTAAGATGTGGGAGTTACAATCACCTTAGCGCTACAACAGTTGAAAGTCTATATTAAGATGTGGGAGTTACAATCACCTTAGCGCTACAACAGTTGAAAGTCTATATTAAGATGTGGGAGTTACAATCACCTTAGCACTACAACAGTTGAAAGTCTATATCATGATGTCGGAGTTACAATCACCTTAGCGCTACAACAGTTGAAAGTCTATATTAAGATGTGGGAGTTACAATCAACTTAGCACTACAACAGTTGTAAGTCTATATTAAGATGTGGGAGTTACAATCACCTTAGAGCTACAACAGTTGTAAGTCTATATTAAGATGTGGGAGTTACAATCACCTTAGCGCTACAACAGTTGAAAGTCTATATCATGATGAGGGAGTTACAATCACCTTAGCGCTACAACAGTTGTAAGTCTATATTAAGATGTGGGAGTTACAATCAACTTAGCACTACAACAGTTGTAAGTCTATATTAAGATGTGGGAGTTACAATCACCTTAGCGCTACAACAGTTGAAAGTCTATATTAAGATGTGGGAGTTACAATCACCTTAGCGCTACAACAGTTGAAAGTCTATATTAAGATGTGGGAGTTGCAATGACCTTAGCGCTACAACAGTTGAAAGTCGATATCATGATGTCGGAGTTACAATGACCTTAGAGCTACAACAGTTGTAAGTCTATATTAAGATGTGGGAGTTACAATCACCTGAGCGCTACAACAGCTGCAAGTCTATATCATGATGTCGGAGTTACAATCACCTTAGCGCTACAACAGTTGTGAGTCTATATTAAGATGTGGGAGTTACAATCACCTTAGCGCAACAACAGTTGTAAGTCTATATTAAGATGTGGGAGTTACAATCACCTTAGCACTACAACAGTTGAAAGTCTATATTAAGATGTGGGAGTTACAATCACCTTAGCACTACAACAGTTGAAAGTCTATATTAAGATGTGGGAGTTACAATCACCTTAGCACTACAACAGTTGTAAGTCTATATTAAGATGTGGGAGTTACAATCACCTTAGCTACAACAGTTGAAAGTCTATATTAAGATGTGGGAGTTACAATCACCTTAGCACTACAACAGTTGTAAGTCTATATTAAGATGTGGGAGTTACAATCACCTTAGCAGCTACAACAACAGTTGTAAGTCTATATTAAGATGTGGGAGTTACAATCACCTTAAGCAACAACAGTTGTAAGTCTATATTAAGATGTGGGAGTTACAATCACCTTAGCTACAACAGTTGTAAGTCTATATTAAGATGTGGGAGTTACAATCACCTTAGCACTACAACAGTTGTAAGTCTATATTAAGATGTGGGAGTTACAATCACCTTAGCACTACAACAGTTGTAAGTCTATATTAAGATGTGGGAGTTACAATCACCTTAGCTACAACAGTTGTAAGTTACAATCAAGCGCTACAACAGTTGTAATCTATATTAAGATGTGGGAGTTACAATCACCTTAGCAACAACAGTTGAAAGTCTATATAAGATGTGGGAGTTACAATCAACTTAGCTACAACAGTTGTAAGTCTATATTAAGATGTGGGAGTTACAATCACTTTAGCAACAACAGTTGTAAGTCTATATTAAGATGTGGGAGTTACAATCACCTTAGCAGCAACAACAGTTGTAAGTCTATATTAAGATGTGGGAGTTACAATCACCTTAGCACTACAACAGTTGTAAGTCTATATTAAGATGTGGGAGTTACAATCAACTTAGCTACAACAGTTGAAAGTCTATATTAAGATGTGGGAGTTACAATCACCTTAAGCTACAACAGTTGTAAGTCTATATTAAGATGTGGGAGTTACAATCACCTTAAGCCAACAACAGTTGTAAGTCTATATTAAGATGTGGGAGTTACAATCACCTTAGCACTACAACAGTTGTAAGTCTATATTAAGATGTGGGAGTTACAATCAACTTAGCACTACAACAGTTGTAAGTCTATATTAAGATGTGGGAGTTACAATCAACTTAGCACTACAACAGTTGTAAGTCTATATTAAGATGTGGGAGTTACAATCACCTTAGCGCTACAACAGTTGTAAGTCTATATTAAGATGTGGGAGTTACAATCACCTTAGCACTACAACAGTTGTAAGTCTATATTAAGATGTGGGAGTTACAATCACCTTAGCGCTACAACAGTTGTAAGTCTATATTAAGATGTGGGAGTTACAATCAACTTAGCACTACAACAGTTGTAAGTCTATATTAAGATGTGGGAGTTACAATCAACTTAGCGCAACAACAGTTGTAAGTCTATATTAAGATGTGGGAGTTACAATCAACTTAGCACTACAACAGTTGTAAGTCTATATTAAGATGCAACAACAACAGTTGTAAGTCTATATTAAGATGTGGGAGTTACAATCACCTTAGCGCAACAACAGTTGTAAGTCTATATTAAGATGTGGGAGTTACAATCAACTTAGCACTACAACAGTTGTAAGTCTATATTAAGATGTGGGAGTTACAATCACCTTAGCGCTACAACAGCTGCAAGTCTATATCATGATGTGGGAGTTACAATCACCTTAGCGCTACAACAGTTGTATGTCTATATCATGATGAGGGAGTTACAATCACCTTAGGACTACAACAGTTGAAAGTATATATTACAATGTGGGAGTTACAATCACCTTATCACTTTATACAACTGCACTGTGATCACAAGAACGTCATTACCTGGCCCTGCACTGTCTGCAGGTTTCTTGGCTTTGGGTGTTGGTGTACTGGTGGCCATAGGTCCCTCCTGCTGCTTTCGCTTCTTTCCCCGAGAGGGAGGGTCTTTCTCCTTGCCATGACTTGGAGGGTCTGGAGGATCTGGAGGTGGCACCTTCTGCTCCTTTTGGGCACTTTTGCCGGCAGATCTCCCCCTCAGGGATCTTCTGGCCACATCTGGGGCCGGACTGCCTTTACTTTCCATCTTCTGAACTGGTGTCTCCCCCTGTGCCTCTTCCTGTGCACCTCTCTTCCGCCTCCGTCGCTCCCCCACAATCAGGTTATCTGTGATATAAAACAGTCCTCAGTGTTAAGTGTAGCCAGATCAGCATTTTAGTAACTGGTAGTTATAAAAATAACTGAACAACACAAAACTATAATAAATTGAATGAATGCTGCATACACATGTAAAAGATATGCATTTAAGTATTGTAGAGAGATCTCTTCTGATTATCAAGGATGGGTGAATCTTACCTAGTGACACATCCCCCAGTTTGGGATCCGTGGTTGTCCCTGGGGCAGCCGGCACCCTCATCTCCTCATCACTCATCAGACAGCTGGCCTGACCCTCACTCAGGATTATCTGACTCCACGAACACCTGAATACAACAACCAGAGCCGTCAAGACAGCTGGATTGACACTCACTCAGGATTATCGGACTCCACGAACACCTGAACACAACAAACAATACCAGGTCACAGACATCAGACAGCTGGCCTGACACTCACTCAGGATTATCCGACTCCACGAACACCTGAACACAACAACCAATACCAGGTCACAGACATCAGACAGCTGGCCTGACCCTCACTCAGGATTATCCGACTCCACGAACACCTGAACACAACAACCAATACCAGGTCACAGACATCAGACAGCTGGCCTGACCCTCACTCAGGATTATCTGACTCCACGAACACCTGAACACAACAACCAATACCAGGTCACAGTCATCAGACAGCTGGCCTGACACTCACTCAGGATTATCGGACTCCACGAACACCTGAACACAACAAACAATACCAGGTCACAGACATCAGACAGCTGGCCTGACCCTCACTCAGTATTATCCGACTCCACAAACACCTGAACACAACAACCAATACCAGGTCACAGGCATCAGACAGCTGGCCTGACACTCACTCAGGATTATCGGACTCCACGAATACCTGAACACAACAACCAATACCAGGTCACAGACATCAGACAGCTGGCCTGACACTCACTCAGGATTATCGGACTCCACGAACACCTGAACACAACAACCAATACCAGGTCACAGACATCAGACAGCTGGCCTGACCCTCACTCAGTATTATCCGACTCCACGAACACCTGAACACAACAAACAATACCAGGTCACAGACATCAGACAGCTGGCCTGACCCTCACTCAGGATTATCCGACTCCACGAACACCTGAACACAACAACCAATACCAGGTCACAGACATCAGACAGCTGGCCTGACCCTCACTCAGGATTATCGGACTCCACGAACACCTGAACACAACAACCAATTCCAGGTCACAGACATCAGAGAGGGTGTAATAGTGACATTGCAAGACATGCCTCCATTAACTAATACAATAACATGGGTCCATGATGAGATTGTAACTGACTAACACAACAACCAATTCCAGGTCACAGACATCAGAGAGGGTGTAATAGTGACATTACAAGACATGCCTCCATGAACTAATACAATAACATGGGTCCATGATGAGATTGTAACTGACTAACATGTACAAAACAGACCTCTAAAACTGACTATAAATGGGAAACCGTTGCCAAAGTCTAATCACAAAACACATAGAAAACGAAAGGAAATATCCCAGCAGTGCACTGAAATACATATGCTGTGTCATGAACACATTTAATGGTCTTATCTATAGTTTTGTACCACTGGTTCATGACGTGATGGCCACAATGGATCAAACTGTTAATGTAATAACACCAAATGAATGATGCACAGATTATGATCTTATGTTGAATATACAATAGTTGTTAAGTTTAATAATTATAAGTTTCAGTAATGATATTAATCCCTGTCAGCAATAATTTGCCAGTAACACAAGTCAAGTTGGCCTTACTGCTGAATGTCGCCTCCATCCCGTGACACTTTATACTTGACTGTATCGCCCTGCTGCACATACTCCACCACCATCCCGTACTCGAAGTAGCCGTCTGACGACATCACCATCACGCTCTGACCAATCGGAATCACCTTCACCAGCAGAATGTCTTTGGCCTTCACATACATCTGGTCTCCGTCATCAAAGCGGATGTAAAATCTGGAGTCATGCAGTTAACTTATGACATGCTGAATCGTCTGTCCTGATTGAAACCAGTACTAAACATTGTGTGCCATCTCAAATACAACCACAAACATCTTGTCCCACCTTTCCCCATCTTAAAGTATACGCATCACAGTTATCTGATCAAATGATACACACAACAAACTCACTCAGATGTGGGCAGCATCTTTAACATAGATCTAAGATGACCATGTGATCAGAAGTGTCATTTTGATTGGTTGATTATATGTCGATAAGACGAATTCTGTTTGTTTTGAGAGATGAAAGCATGGTGGCAACAGGGTCCAGAGCATAAATGTCATAACAGACTAGAAACAGAAGGGGGACAATATTGTGCAACTTACCTTCCAGTTGTGTCAGTTTTCAAAATCTTCCCTGGGTAGAAGTAATCATCCTTCCACTTGGCCATTACTGTGGATCCTGAAACAACAAAGTGCCATTGTCATAAATCACTAGAAAAAAGAATCAGAATCATATTTTGATGTTTATTATATGACAGCATCTTAAGACGTAGATGGACAAACACATGATCTGATGTTGAACATATTAGTGCAGTTAATGAGCAGAATATTTCCTTTGATTAAATTTTAGCATATTGTACATGACAGCACACACAAAATCTTAAAGGGCAAAACATTTCATTTGTGACATGTGATACACTTGACAAAATCTGCATCTATGATTGTGCTTTGTGTCAAATGCATATGTACAAAATGTAACACTCCCTCAAAACATCAGTGCAGACTGTGCTACCACACTACAGAGTGAGTGAGTGGTTTTATGTTGCTTTTAGCAATATCATGGCGGGGGACACCAGATATCGGCTTCACACATTGTACCCATACCACACACTGCAGACAAAGTTATATAGAACATACCAATCTGTGCACTACTGGCATGTTCAACTGGCACTGCCTGCTCTTGCTCAGCATCTGTGGTTGTCTGGAAGGGAATCTGCGGACTGGAAGAGGAGACACATTACCTCAAACAAATGCATATATTGTCCAAATGGTAAAATGAATTTCAAAATATTTCAGAAGTAAAAACTCAAGCTAATTTTCCTTTGTTTGGTGCTATATATGCATTTTCTTCACTGACCTTATATGACTGTCTCCAGAACCGCTGTTTTCCGTAGTTTTACTCTTCTCTCCTGAAAATGAAAGCATTTAGGTGAGAGAATATTGTCCCACAATACATTCAGCAGTACCCCAGGTATATGATAGGGCTACAGTTCATTTCATGTGATGGACTAAATGTCTCAGATTTCTCTTGAACATAAAATGTATTGCACTTCAAGCTATTAAGACCTGTATCATTGTGACTAAGCTTATGAGATTGTCATCTACTGAGATTTGCATATATTTCAGTTAAGTCTATGGAGATGACAATATGATCATCACATTCCAACTGTGTCTACTACATCACAACTAAGAGTAGCATATTGTGATTTATCAAGATATGTACCATATCTCAGATAAGCATATCATATTTTATTGGATTTAAGTGTGTAATTATGATCGGAGTGAGAATCAATACATACCCCTAGCAGACCTTCTAACTTGCTGGTTCTGTGAAGGTGGAATATCTGAGTCTGTCGTCTGTAGCAAATGTAGTGGTGACTGTACCTGCTTCCGCTGCCCAACAGACCCATGTATAGAAAACCCACCACTCTCCTGTGTCCGGGGTCGCTGAGCTGAGGTGATCTCTGTTGATGAATCTTGGCTGGAATCAGCAGGCCGTTTCTTCAGTGGTGAACTTGGGTGGTTACTGACCTCCCTCCGCTGCTCTCCGTGATGACCTGCTTCACCAGCATCTTCTCTGTGGACTTCAGGACTCGTGAACAGAGAGTCTGACGTACGCCGACTACCGGCGCTGCTGACAACTGCACCTATATGACTGTCTGTTTTCTCAATCACAGACGCATCTGGAGTCTTCACTGCTCGTCCTTCATCCACAATGTCCGACACAGGGGTTCTGTTGGACTCTCTGGCAACGGTCAGTTTAGGGGCATCTTCGTTCCTGGAGATGGAAGGAGAGGTGATGCTGGAGAAGGTGCTGTGAGGTAATGACAGTCTGGTGGAGCTAGACGTCAGCAGTCTCTGCAAGGAGTCTTCCCTCCTCGATAGGGGCGCCAGATCTAGACTTGTCATCCCTTTCTCAAGACTGCTGCCTTTAGATCCTGTGCTGTTGGATCTGGAAAAGCCGGAACTGACATCTGCCAGGTCACCTGGAGTGAGGGAACCTGGAGTCCGAGATGGGGATACTAAGGGTAACACATTAGTCTCCTCACTGTGGAACGTTGTAGTAAAGGAGGGCTCACCGCACTCCTCCTAAAATATTAAAGACAAAGAGGTGACTGAATCATATGAATTGTCATACAGAAGAATATCAATGTGGAATACTAGCTACATCTGCTGGGTTCCACACTAGAGACAGGTCTCAAGCATATTGCTGGTCAAAAGAGGCAACTAAAGTGAGTGAGGCTTGGCAACTTTGTTGGCTGGCTGTCACCGTACCTGATGGCGTGGACTGATGCATATATATCAGTCAGTGGGTTATAGGTTCCAACTACAAACGATCCAGAATGTAAGCAGGGTTCACTCATACCTCCTACCTTGAATACAAAATCAGCAGAACAATTTTCATGTTACACATTTATTGATATTGTAATAATTTTTGAGCCCACACATTTCCAATGAATAAACCAAATGTTATGCCATTTTGAAAATAAATTTCTAAGAAATGTCCATAAATTGGTTGGTACTAACGCTTTTAAGGGAGCAGAACAAACATCATGCAGTGACCTTGAGTGACATCAGTGGAGGGAACAAGCATGTGAAGTTTCAGCATCATTGGTCCAGAGGTTTATTTGGAGATATTGCTTACCAAATGGAGGACACAATGCAAAATGTATGCCCGACAAACAGACCATGATATAAGCTCACTTGACGTTCAGCTAGGTGATCCAAAACATGCTTCCAGCCTTTACTCATCCTAGTCTGATGGGGTTGTGTGAAGATACAACATAACTATCAGCTTTCCCAAGTCTGCTAATTCCTGAACTTCACCCACCTCTTTCTTGACCCGCCCCACCACCTTGCCCTCTCTGTTGGTGACTATACGAATGATTGTCTCAATCTCAACAGTCTTCCTCTTCCTTGTGATGATCACCGTCTCCGTCAGCTGGTCGGACATCTGGGAGTCAGACAGATCTGAAGACTGAAACAAAGAGGAAAGCTGATGATGAGAAATGTTACCTAACATATGAAAATGAGCAAAATAAAATCAGACTAAATATAAAACATCAGAAATGTGTAGATCTTTATTGACTGAGTCTGATTACTGACAGATTGCAATCAACATTTGATGTAGAGATAGTCTTACTGCAGCTGGTGCAGAGGAGGCTGCTGCTGTTGCTGCTGCTGCTACTGGTGTCTTGCCAGGGATGTTCTGGAATGCTACATGTCTTTCTGTTGACCTCTGACTGGGAAGGGAGTGACTCACATCAGCATCAAAACCTGTGCCTGGACTGGTGACTGCTGCTCGTGGCTCACCAGTGTCTCCTGCCAACAAAGAAGACACAGTCTATAACAAAATATCTTCTTTCAAACTGGAGACAATAATGCTGTAAATCTACCAATGACTAACCTACACCAAAATATATTTTCTGGAAGGTTCCACAGCTGCTGGATAGTTCCATAAACGAAACTTGCCTGGGGGTATATTCAGGAAAACTGGTACACAGCTACCTTCACTGAGCTGAATGGACCTTTCGCAAACTGATGGACACCTGAAAAAATCCTCAGTATTCCTCCCGTGCTACCTTTACTGAATCTCCTGTAAGTTACCATTACTAGACCTTGTGGGCAGCTACCTTCATTAAGCCTGCAACACAACATACACTAAACCTGCTCTACACCGACCTTCACTGAACCTGCTCTACCTTCACTGAACCTGCTCTACACTGACCTTCACTGAACCTGCTCTACACCAACCTTCACTGAACCTGCTCTACATCTACCTTCACTGAACCTGCTCTACACCAACTTTCAATGAACCTGCTCTACACCAACCTTCACTGAACCTGCTCTACACCTACCTTCACTGAACCTGCTCTACACCAACCTTCACTGAACATGCTCTACACCAACCTTCACTGAACCTGCTCTACACCAACCTTCACTGAACCTGCTCTACACCGATCTTCACTGAACCTGCTCTACACCAACCTTCACTGAACCTGCTCTACACCTACCTTCACTGAACCTGCTCTACACCAACCTTCACTGAACCTGCTCTACACCTACCTTCACTGAACCTGCTCTACACCTACCTTCACTGAACCTGCTCTACACCAACCTTCACTGAACCTGCTCTACACCAACCTTCACTGAACCTGCTCTACACCAACCTTCACTGAACCTGCTCTACACCAACCTTCACTGAACCTGCTCTACACCAACCTTCACTGAACCTGCTCTACACCAACCTTCACTGAACCTGCTCTACACCAACCTTCACTCTGCTCTACACCAACCTTCACTGAACCTGCTCTACACCAACCTTCACTGAACCTGCTCTACACCTACCTTCACTGAACCTGCTCTACACCAACCTTCACTGAACCTGCTCTACACCTACCTTCACTGAACCTGCTCTACACCAACCTTCACTGAACCTGCTCTACACCAACCTTCACTGAACCTGCTCTACACCAACCTTCACTGAACCTGCTCTACACCAACCTTCACTGAACTGCTGAACACTGACCTTCACTGAACCTGCTCTACACCAACCTTCACTGAACCTGCTCTACACCAACCTTCACTGAACCTGCTCTACACCGCACCTTCACTGAACCTGCTCTACACGACCTTCACTGAACCTGCTCTTCACTGAACCTGCTCTACACTAACCTTCACTGAACTTGCTCTACACCAACCTTCACTGAACCTGCTCTACACCAACCTTCACTGAACCTGCTCTACACTGACCTTCACTGAACCTGCTCTACACCGACCTTCACTGAACCTGCTCTTAACTGAACCTGCTCTACACATACCTCCACTGAACCTGCTCTACACTGATCTTCACTGAACCTGCTCTACACCTACCTTCACTGAACCTGCTCTACACTGACCTTCACTGAACCTGCTCTACTCCAACCTTCACTGAACCTGCTCTACACCTACCTTCACTGAACCTGCTCTACACCTACCTTCACTGAACCTGCTCTACACCGACCTTCACTGAACCTGCTCTACCACTGAACTCACTGAACCTGCTCTACACTGACCTTCACTGAACCTGCTCTACACCTGCTCTTCACTGAACCTGCTCTACACTCAACCTTCACTGAACCTGCTCTACACTGAACCTGCTCTACCTTCACTGAACCTTCACTGCTGCTCTACACTGACCTACCTTCACTGAACCTGCTCTACACCTACCTTCACTGAACCTGCTCTACTCCTACCTTCACTGAACCTGCTCTACACCTACCTTCACTGAACCTGCTCTACACCTACCTTCACTGAACCTGCTCTACACCTACCTTCACTGAACCTGCTTCACATCTACCTTAGCTGTATTGGCATAAGATTTAAAGTGCTCTTACCTGGAGCATCTTCTGGGTTGTCCACAAGAGCAGTTTTTCTGCCAGGCAACTTTTGAATCCTGGTGACAGGTCTGCGCAACTTCTTAGGTTTTGACTTGCTGGCAGATGCCTTAAAGTCTGAAGACAAGGTACTGTCATCTTTCACAATCTTCTTAGCGCTGACTCTTTTCAACCCTCTTCCAGGTTTTTTTCTTGATGATAATGGAGTTGTTGGCAAAGGGTTCTGTAAATATAGTGTGATGTGCAAAGTCAGTTCTAACATTAAAACAATTCAACATTAATGATGAACTCATCAGCACTTAAACACACAAGTTGATGTAATTTTTAGAGTAAAATTGATATTTTATACTTATCCTGACTCATGCTCTTTTGCTTGTCTTCTTCTTCTTGCGAACATAGTGGAACACTTGTATCTCCCTAATTGAAGTTCCCTTCAATAAAGAAATCACTAATTAGTACTCACCACGAGTTACCTCCCTTCCACAAGCGCGAGAACGAGGGCGCCACCTCTACCCATGTGCCTCACTCTCTCCTCATATACTGAGCCCAACATTTGAATTTTCAGGGAAATCCAAAGTGTTATGTGGGGAGGACGGGAGGGCTTACCTCATGAGTCAGGATAAGTATAAAATATCAATTTTACTCTAAAAATTACATATTTTTCCTTATCCTGACTCATGCTCTTTTGCTTGTAGTATCCTACGGAAAAGGAGGTGGGAATATATAATACTTTGGACTTTAATAATTAGTGATTTGAACTGTGATGATTGTAATAACCCTATGGGAACTTCATAAAGGCACTGAACTGATGAATTCCTGCTGCTAACTTATCAGCTGCCATATAAAGGTTATTACAATTTACTTATTATGATAAAGTATATATAACATTAATACAATGCTTAAGACTAATAGACTTAAGCTTGTTAATATGATAGTATAAACTCCTTAGAGTTTGTTAGCTAAAATACTTTATGATATAAACATAGTACTGAGCTTAAGATATGATTAAACTTAAGCTAAATATATAATAGCAAAAAACTCCTTAGAGTTTATTAGCTAATATACTTTTATGATATAAACATAGTACTGAGCTTAAGATATGATTAAACTTAAGCTATATATATAATAGCAAAACTCCGTAGAGTTTGTTAGCTTATACATTTTATAATGTAACCATAATGCTTAAGATATGATGAAACTCAAGCTAAATATATAATAGCAAAAAAAACCTTTAGAGTTTGTTAGCTAATATACTTATATGATATAAACATAGTACTGAGCTTAAGATATGAAAGAAAACTTAAGCTACATATATAATAGCAAAAACTCCGTAGAGTTTGTTAGCTAATACATGTTATAATGTAACCATAATGCTTAAGATATGATGAAACTTAAGCCAAATATATAATAGCAAAAACTCTTTAGAGTTTGTTAGCTAATATACTTATATGATATAAACATAGTACTGAGCTTAAGATATGAATAAGCTTAAGCTACATATATAATAGCAAAAACTCCGTAGAGTTTGTTAGCTAATATATTTTTACGATATGAGTATAGTACTGTGCTTAAGATATAATTAACTTAAGCTACATATATAATAGCCAAAAACTCTGTAGAGTTTGTTAGCTAATACATTTATAATGTAACCATAGTACTGAGCTTAAGATATGATTAACTTAAGGTAAATATATAATAACAAACTCCATAGAGTTGTTAACTTATATATTGTATGATATAATAACCATAGTACTGAGCTTAAGATAATAAAAGAACTTAAGCAAAATATATATAGCATGTAGCTATTTAGTACTGTTATATGATAAGTAGAAATCTGTAAGATTGACTTATCTTCTCCGAGGAACTGTCAACTGTTGTGGGAGGACCATGGGACCGAATTGGTGGATACCTGAGACGTCCTCGGTGGTGATATCTCTCAGATAGTGGTTGGCAAACACCATATCGGATCTCCAGAAATAACCCTCCATTATTTCAATAGCACATGTGTAGAGCAATTGTAGATGTTAGCGCTCTAATATCATGAGGATTAGAAGCTCATGGAGGGTCGAGTCCTGCAGTCTTGTAGGCACGTAGTATGACAGTACTGATCCAAAAGGAGATAGTAGTACGTGAGACTTCAGTCTGCGTAGCTTGATGATAGAGGAAATAATCTCTTGCATTTTTCCCTCCTGTTTGGCTCGGTGGAGATATATTTACAGTGCTCTTACTGGCCATCGTGATAGATTCATTGTATCATGGGGTCCAAGTATATCATCAAAGCGTGTTCATAAACCTCACTTGTGAGGTGTTGGAGCACTATATTCAGATCCCATGTTGGAGCGTGAAACTTCCGTTTTAATCCTCCAATCAGAAAGCTCGTAGCAAGGCGAGTAACTGGGTTTAGGTTAACTTGACGCCCGTTCTCAGTTATGATAGAGCTATTGCTTCAAGATAGGTGGACAAGTTGATCCTTATAAAATCTTAGTCTGACGTATATAACATAAGTAGTCAGCCACTTGAGGATGAGTAGCATATCTAGCTGTAAATCCTTTCTTTGCAGCATAATTGACAAACTGTGCCAATTGTCATCGTATAAGTTGCAAGTTGAGTTACGCAGGGCAAGCTAGACTGCTTTGCCGCTCTGGCTGAATAACGTGTTATTCAGACACGCCTTGATACAATCCATACGTGAAGTTGGAATATTTCTGGCTTTCCGTGCACTTGTTTGGTGTGCGGATGTATTAACAGATTCGAGCACTCTGTAAGCTGTAGTATTGGTTGTCCGATTTCTTGAATAAGAGTTGGAAACCACGTTCTCGCTGGTCAGTAGGCCGCGACCAAATTCAAATGGAGGCTCTGCGTTTGACTGATTTGAGTAAACTTGTGAGATTAACGCTGGTGGCGGAAAAGCGTACGCATTGAGTCCTTCCAACGATAAGCTTAGTGCGTCTGTTGCCAATGCTAGTGGGTCTGGGACTGGCGATACGAATGTGTCAGTTGTTTTTATTAGAACAATCGTCGGTCTTCACCGTAGCTTCCCGAAGTTACCCGAGTGACCACATGTTTCGAGGGTTAATGGTAAACGCGCGAAACCTCCGGCGCGAAATACCTCGCTCTGTTATATTAATGCTGGGTAGGTTATTTTCCTGGCTGTCGTGAAAGTAACTTCAGTCTTGAATATAATTCCGACTTCCTGATATAAAGGTACAATAACCTTGCAAGTTGTCAGCTTGTAGACTGTATACATGAATGTATCGTCATAATTGTAGAATTAAAGCTGAACTTGTTGTACATATTTCTTCTCAGAAAACGTTGACGATTATGAGTTATACTCGCTGTAACAAGGCTGCTGTTCAATTTCGATATTGAATTGTCTGCAGATCTGCGTAATGGTCACGCATGTAGATAATCGTATCGTAGTCCGGGATTGCATATCTAGCAATCTATACGGAAAAGTTGATTCCTGTGAAGATCTATGAAACGTCGTTGACTAATTAATACAGCGACGTTCTGTGTTGTAAATAGCCTGTGCAATTGTCTTCGCGTAGGCTTGTAGACGGCATATGGCATACAGTTGATAGACAACTCATGCGATGTCTTGAACGGACTGACGAGTGGCTATAAATGACAAGTGGCTAGTATATGGAGACCTTGGAGGAGACTTCCTCGGCGAACGCCGGAGACTTCGCGAAGCACTCGAAGTATCCCTTCTAGATCTTCTGGGTGAAGTAGACTTGGAGCCACTTAGCCTTCGCGACCTTCGCGAAGGTATCGAGTCAGAACCCGATCAATATATATGAGCGCTTGCTTCGCGAACGACCTCTGTGTTCTACAGGGTGTGGGCTCGGCGAAGCGCTCCTCCTCCGCGATGTCCCTCGCAACTGGAGAGGCTCTGGCTCCTTCGCGGAGGCGGCCTGGGACTTCCTTAGCGAAGTGTTCGCTATAGGCTGGGTTGCCCTTCGCGGAGGCTTTTCCCTGGATGACCTTCTGGACGAAGATGACTCGGAGCCTGTTACTGGTGCCCTTTGCCCTTCGCGAAGACCTTCGCGAAGACCTTCGCGAAGCTTCATCTGAGTCCGGTCCTGGGAAGTGACGACTTGACCTTCGCGAAGGCCTTCGCGAAGGCTGGGCATCTGGGTCCTTCGTGGAGGTGGGCTGTGACGACCTTCGCGAAGGTGGCTTCCTCGACGATGGCTTCGTAGTAGTCGCTTCGCTGACGGGGGGGCCCTCTGATGTGACGTCTACGTTGGAGCCTTCGCGAAGGCTCGAGGCTGGTTGCCTCTCCAGACCGTAGCGGTCTACATCATCTTCATAATCTGACGCATCAGGTCGTCTGGGACGATCTGCAATGAAGTAGTTGCTGCCCTATCTGCGTTGGTAGCAACGGGACCCTCAGGAAGATCATCGGACATCAGCGTTGGTACATCAGACTGCATGTTGATCTGCGCTGACATCACTGTTGCCGACATCGGTCATTCTTTTGATGTACATCAGGTATGATGATCAGCTGATCATCATACAGGCCCAAACTGCGACGGGAACAATCTCGGCTGAGAAAGTCCTAGTAGACTTAATTGATTTCCCCTCAGAGGTCGATGCTGCCCTGGGGGTGCGGAATCTGCGTTGAGATGAAGTAGAAGCCCTCTAGTCTTTGGCTGCGACGACGGGATGTCTGGGGAAGCAGGACACTTCTTGGAGACGGCGGACTACATCCCACGCCTCTCCACCACTCTAGCGGAACACCAGACGGGAGGGGGGTCGACCAACAGCAGTAGACTGGCGAGGGTTTCAGGTGTATCAGTCATGGCTAGACTCTGCTTACGTGACCTATCTGCTGCGCGTCTCAAACGCAAGGTAAATATTTATTAAAGGCAGAATTGGATAAATTAGTACAGCAACTGCAACGTGAAGAAAATTAACATGGCGCAGTACAGCTAGGGCATATTAAATGCGGATCAGCAGCAGAAAAACGTAACCTGCAAACAGTACAGATTTTCATCAACGTAATCCACTGAATAAACACGGCGTCCCGTGAATAAACAGTAGAAACACAACTAAATATCAATACATAATTGTTGAAGGATACTAGCTAAACCTCTATAGATGCCTATAAGAGGTAACTAACTAAAAATAATCAAAGGATATAGTGTGTAGGGAGACACAGGCGCTCTCACATCCTGCTCACTGGGCGAAGAAGGAGAGAGTGAGGCACATGGGTAGAGGTGGCGCCCTCGTTCCCCCGCGCTTGTGGAAGGGAGGTAACTCGTGGTGAGTACTAATTAGTGATTTCTTTATTGAAGGGAACTTCAATTAGGGAGATACAAGTGTTCCACTATGTTCGCAAGAAGAAGAAGACAAGCAAAAGAGCATGAGTCAGGATAAGGAAAAATTATTAAAAGCTTTCAAATTAACATCAGTTACCGACCCTGGTGGTGGTGGTCTGTTCTGTGGCCAGCTGCTGAGACTGGGATCCGTGGAAGGTGTAAGGATCAGATGATTTCCTCGCAGAGTAACACTGTGGGCAGCATGAGGTGATGTCTCCATCACAGACGTCATATTGAGAGGATCACCGATACCCGAGTCCTTCAAAACACTCACACTGAGATTACCTCCCTTAAGGTCGGCCGTAGAGCCTGAAGTCGAGTCTACCTGTGCTGTTTTCCCAGCCATCTGCTTTTCGTTATCCTTGGATCTGGAACTCTTTGTGTTTTCCAAATTTGTAAATGACACTTCTTTTGCAGACAAATCATCTTTTGAGGTGTTGGGTCTTGGATTAGGAGCAGCACAAGTTTTGCTTTGAGATTGCGTAGAGGCTGTAAGACCACTACTTGCACCTGGTTGAACCATCACTGTTTCATCAGTTTGTGTAGCTCCTTTCGTCTGCACCTGCTGGAGAAGTGTCCCCTGAGCTTCAGTCTCCTGCCTCAAGGATGCTGGAACACCACCCTGAGGAGTTCCCTGCAGCTGTAATAAGCTTCCTTCCTGTAGCGAGCTTGACACATTATCTTCCACCATTTCTACATCCACATTCTTAGGCACTTCATAAGTCTCTGTGTTTTCACTAAACGGGTCGGGAGCATCATCCTTTTCCTGAGTCAACAAAAGACAAGAGTTTAAGTTGATATGTGGATGCACCATGACACCGGCAGTCACGACACATACAACATCATGATGTATTGTATCCATTTACTGGCATATTTAGAAAGTGTTTAGGTTTCATGAAGAGTTCATAAACTGTCCCATCTGGTATTTGTAGGTCTCAAGTACTATACGCATGATAATAGGCTGTTCATAGAACTCAATGTGGAAGCTACAAAAAGAAATACTACAGCTTCAAATAATCTAGGCAAGACAATCAATGGCTGATAGCATCTACAAGGTCGCTCACTGTATCTACTTAATCTCTATTGCAGCCTGCTCTTAAGAATACCATCTGTACCAAAGACCTCAAGACTACCATGGACTACCGGAGACCTCGTGACTACCATGGACTACTGAGGACCTTTGACTACCATGGACTACTGAGGACCTTGTGACTACCAGGCACTACTGAGGACCTTGTGACTACCATCAACTACTGAGGACCCTGTGACTGCCAGGCACTACTGATGACATTATGACTACCATGGACTACTGAGGACCTTATGACTACCAGGCACTTCTGAGGACCTTATGACTACCATGGACTAATCAGGACCTTAAGACTACCAGGCGCTACTGACGACCTTATGACTACCAGGCACTACTGAGGACATTATGACTACCATGGACTACTGAGGCCTGGTGACTACCAGGCACTACCGAGGACCTGGTGACTATCATGGACTACTGAGGACCTTATGACTACCAGGCACTACTGAGGACCTTGTGACAACCAGGCGCTACTGAGGACCTGGTGACTACCATGGACTACTGAGGACCTTATGACTACCAGGCACTGCTGAGGACCTTGTGACTACCATGGACTACCATGGACTACCGGGGACTACTGAAGATCTCCTCTGCTTCATGTTGAGTATGTAACAGGATTCACATTTAGATTGTGACATCACCTAATAAAGAGGTTGTTCATCCATAAAGTTTGTCTTTATCTGACTCTCCAACTTCTCAATATGTCACTCAAAGAAGTATTCACATTGTTCAATGATGCTCGACACTGTGATGGTACATCTTTAGCGACAGCATAAAACATCACTCATTTTCCTTTGTTATTTCTCCTGGTCTTCATTCTCATCTCACCACATGTCCATTTTAACATTTTCACTAACAGAAAGCTCACCTGTTCAGGCTTTTTCTCACTGACAGGCTGATCAGGCTTTTTCTCACTGACAGGCTGATCAGGCTGGGTCTCTGCGTCTTCATCAATATGAGTTATCTCCCCTGTACGAGGTCTCTTCTCAGCTGTCAGAGACTTGGTCTCACCAGGTGGTGCTGATTTCCTCTTCCCGCTCATTTCTATGTTGAAGAAATCCTCACTGTATAATGTAAGGGAAGGCCAGTTAGCATCTATACAGCTACCTAGCAGGGTTCAAATGTTCACTACACCATGAAATGTAAAGGTTCATTGTATGTTTGTAGTTGAGGGCCGAATCAACACCCAGCAACATTCCTGCTATTTGATGACCAGACAATCCAGTAATTGCTTTGGACAATAAGCATAAGTTGCATGGGATCAGTTCTTTTTGCAACGTGACTCTCATGCCCTCTACTGGCCAAACATTATTTCAAGCGAACCCCATAGTGTTATGTCCCTTGGAGCGTTCTTTATGAATATTCTATAACTGTTTTGGAGACAGAACTCAGTCCAAGATAAAATGACGCTAATGTCTATGATTGAAACCAGTTCGGCAAACACCGACACCGCATGCGACAGTTTTCGATGTACGGAGCAATTGTTTATATTCAAAACATGGCAACTGTTCTCAATTTGGAAGCTGTTCGCCTCAAAGTTTCAATTATCGATTTCAGGCAAGTCGCAAGGGATAACAATTGTGCCTTTAAAAAACAAATCATTTTGGTCCTAGTTCTGGCAAGTGAGGCTGCAGCATGCATACAGACAGATAGGTCAAGGTACCCTGAAGGAAGGCTTATATAACGTGTAGTATTACGTAGAACCTTAGCAGCTAATTTCACAAGCATTCACATGATTTTGTATGTGTAAGAGAGTTAAAGGAACGGTCGGCCAATTATTTTTCCAACTGTTATACATTTTCAAGAGTGAGTTAGTTTCAATGTCATCTCAATGTCAGATTACCGTGAAGATGTACGTGACACATGTCATAACTGTCCACCACTTTAATGAAACTTACAAGCATTGGAACATTGCTGACAAGGGTCATAATCTGGGAAATTCAAGATTTCAAATGCAGGGCAATCATTATTATAATTATTTGAAAAACATTTGACATAACCTGTATTAAGTATGATCACCAATTGAACTTGGAAGATATTTTTGTTCGGTACATTCAGTTTCTATGATAACAAAATCCAGTTCCTACCTCTCCTCTGATAGGTGGAGTTGTTGATCCACTCGCCTGCGCACACCAGATCGGGTCTTCTTGAACACATTCACCTCGCTCCCTTCCTCCCCTTCCTCTGACATCCGCAGGTCGGGCTCTACAGGCAGGGAGTCAGTAAGTAAGTGAGTTGTATCTTGTGTTGGGAATTGGTTAAAATCTCATTATTGTGTCTTGTGAATACACCCGAAGATGGGTACGTGTGCACGTGAAATGCGAGGTAGTTTAAAAGTATTTACGACAGTGGAAAACGATAGACCAAGCTTATTCGCTATTTGGAGTAAACTTCTCTCTTGTTTTGCTTCTAGGCATTAGATTCGTGCAGTTAGACCAACATACTGCGTTAAACCGGAATAATATTGGCTTTATTAGAGTTCCTGGTAAGACAATTAGCTTCAGTCAGAAGTTTCACTTAGAATCTTGATAAAGGTCACATGCAACGTAAAACACAACTTTGCAGATTCTGATACCTTTCGGTATGGACTTACCGAAACAAAGCTTCAAAAATGCAAATTCAACTTATAAAGTTGAAAAATAACGCGATGAAAAAAAACGCGCGAAATCGGAGTTCAAACGTTTCACTACTTTTCCCCAGACTTTTCTGGGGAATACGGGTTTCAACAGCTGGGCTGCGCTCATAGCATGTGCGCAGTGAAATAGGTTCGCGCAACTTGGAAGCGGGCTGTCTGGTGAATACTTTCGGTGAAGGCTTTGGTGTGAGCTATTTTCATAATGTTTTGTTGATATCTCACAGTGCGAAGCTTTTATATGTTATGACAGTAAATAAACTGTTTATATAATTTCATTTGTCTATTTCACCACACGTTCTTCTTACCGAGTCACTTTCTCAGTTCGATACTTAAAAGCAATGTCATTATTTAGCGTTGACAGAATTTCTAACTGTGATAGAGATATGTCGTTGTCACAGACAAAACTCAATGTCTTGTTTTATTGACACCTGTGTGTCGGCCTGCCTGTCTGCTAATGACAATATTCAATACACAACTGCGATCACTGACCACATGCAATTTGAACTTAACACCAATCAGGCTATACACCATAAACAAAACGCATTGATTTATGGCCCGAGTTCGGTCTCTGTCACATTATGTAATTACACAGACAGGCAGGTGTGATACTTGAACACATGACATGTTATGATGTCTGTTGATTGCAAAATGTTATACACAAAAAATGAGCATGTATTTACAAAACCCAACATCTCTATATATACACACACAATGAGCCGTGAAGGCGGCATCTGCTAATGAACCAGCCGTTACACTTGAGTGCACACCCACCCGCTCTGACTGGGTTCGGTATCCCGGCTGCTTCGTTTCGAGGGAGGTTAACCCAAGTACAAAATATTGCACTTTTGATTTGCGATTATACGCTTATAATTTTGTTTATTTGTTTTTTCATAATCAGCAATGCATATTATATGTCATGAAGAAGTGATAATTGTGTTTTAATTATATTTGATTTTTTGGTTGCATGTGACCTTTAAGAGAATCACATTTGGTTGATTATGAATCATCCATAGTTTTCTCACTTGTAATCATGTTTACTTCACTTGTAATCATGTTTACTTCACTTGTAATCATGTTTACTTCACTTGTAATCATGTTTACTTCCTTGTTTAGACCAAAGGTAAGTGTTTGAAATTTAGCTGATTAGTTTTCAGTTACATTTTTGACAGACTGCACGTTAATTCCACTGCGCAACACTGCTCTTACTGTTACAGTGCCAAATCCCTGCCAATGAAGTGAGTGAGTGAGTGAGCATGGTTTTACGCCGCTTTAAGCAATATTCGAGCAATATCACGGCAGGGTTTCACACATTGTACCCATGTGGGGATTCAAACCCAGGTCTTCGGTGTGACGAGTGAACGCTTTAACCACTAGGCTACCCCACCACCCCCCTGCCAATGAAAGTATTTGGACAACCACAATATACACATCATAATGCTTGTACACGTAAACTGGAATGAAATTTTCAAAAAGTTCAGACTAGAGTCACATTCACATATTTCTGCCATATTCCAGTCCAAAGGCTTTAATATAAAAACAAGCATTGTCACTAAGGTGACATAATCCCCTGCCGCAAATTATCAAACAAACATAAAAAGTAATGAAAGTGTAAGATGAAGGTAAATATCAACAAAAACAAGACCAGTCAACCTCTCTTGTTATCTTCTCTTTAGTTGTTCAAACACAAATATTTTCAAGACTGAATTTGACCTTGACAATGAATGTCATAGTGTATGAAATATGCAAAAGTGGTACTAAAGAAATTGCTTATTGAAAAACATTCAAGGGAAGTCTTGAAAGTCTATGAAGAAAATCCAGTGAATTCAGGTTAACATACTGAAATCTTCAAAGTGTCGCAGTGACCTTGAATTAAGTGAAGGTCACCAAAATCGACTGGGTCTTGCACTTTTCCTAGATGAAGCTTGGTGTCAAATATGAAGTAAGTCCAGTGAATGGTTCTTGAGGTATCTCGCTGACAAGCATAACATGCAGGTTAATACTAGTATGCTGAAATCTTCAAAGTGCCACCATGACCTTGAAAATTAAGTGAAGGTCACCAAAATCGACTGAGCCCTGTTCCTACCCTAGATTAGGCTTGATGTCAAATATGAAGAAAATCCAGAGAATGGGCCTTGAGTTATCTCGGGACAAGCATAACATGCAGGTTAATGTGCTGAAATCTTCAAAGTGTCACCATGACCTTGAAAATTACGTGAAGGTCACTAAAATCGCCTGGGCCCTGCCCCTTCTCTAGATAAAGCTTGGTGTTGAATATGAAGAAAATCTAGAGAACATATCTTGAGATATCTCGCTGACAAGAGTAAAACGTTAAAGTCCCCTTGTGACCTTGAAATGAAGGTCAAGGTCACCAAACCTGACTGGAACCTTTCTTGATGTGATTAACCTAGGTACTAAATATGAGAAGAATCTTGTCAACGGATCTTAGGATATTCCAATTCATACGTATGGACGGACGGAGCCTAATACTATATCCCCTGCTTCGCGCTAAACGCACGGCGGGGGATAAAAACCAATAGCCCCTATTTCGGAAAGAAAACCAGTCTAATCATTAACAAACACCAGTTGTAACTGGTAGGGTGGCTATCAATATAGATCTCAGAGATCTATAATCGTTACCTAAATATCGACTGATTATGGATACATATTGGAGACGTAACTTATCGGAAAGAAATGAAAATACTTCACATCACTGGTGAGTGGCGGCATGTTTTTGAATGGATTATTAACAAAACAGCATCCTGAACATGATTCTGAAGCAGACCATGAATAAAGTCCTAAATTTGCATATTGTGAGAACATTCAAACTTTTTTCTACCACAAAAGTTATTGTACAATATTATCGACAGCACAATTTTCTTATCAATAATTAATAATTAATCATTTTTCACATCAATGATATTTCCGATTATCAATTATTTTAGCCACCCCTAGTAACTGGGATCAGTTACACCATGACTGTTGTAGTGCTTTTCCTTACTCTGTATCCTGAATGTCGTCTCCTCTGTGCTCTGACTCTGTAAGGCCAGAGTCGCTATAGACAGTGAAGCCACAGGCGGTGCAGCAGCAGTAACAGCAACTCCTCCATCCCTGCAATATACGAAAAAGGTATTGTGCCTGTCCGAAAACATCAGCCTTAATAGGATACAACTATATCAATTTTTTCCATTTCACAAGAACTGTTGCAATGTTAATTCAGCTACATATCTTCACCAGATATTACCACTGTGGCTCCACATACCAGGAATTCCCATATTTAGGCCCACGCGAAATTTAGCCCATGGGCTAAAATACAGGATTTTTTTTCCGTATTTAAGCCCATGGGCTTAAATTAGGATTTAATTCTTAGATGTTTAGAGTGACGTCCCTTTCCAACGCATGGCGAACCTTGCCTTTTTTAACATTAGTACTGCCTCTGCGAGGTTATCACGTTTACAGAACATTTTGGACCATGTGGTCATTCAATTTTGTATTTTAGACCTGTTTCCTGATAAAAGAGTTTAAAAAAAGATACACGATTCTTTTAAATTTATCAAAATATTGAGCGTTTTCGAATTTAAGACATAGGTTTAAATATGGCTAAAATACTTCATCACTATAACTGTGATTTTCCACCCAGGGCTTAAATCCAGAATTCTCGGTAATCTGCATTAGAGTCAACTAGGTACACTTTCCTCAACTTCTGAGGTAACTTACGTTTGAGGTGAGCTTGATTTATCTTCACCCTTGTCACTCTGAGGAACTTGGACGGGATGAATCAAAGCACCATCTCTAGGCAATGTCAGATGAAAGCCATCTGTGGCAAAACCACATCATCTCTATACATTAGGAAACGTTTCAACAAGTCCCAGACAGGAAGCTTTAACTTGAGAAATATTTCTGACATACCTCTTCCTAGATATCCCTAACATTTCATCTGTGTTTAAAAACAACAGGAGATGTAGAGATATAAAACATGTAACAGCTGCAACAACATGAACTCATTGAAATGAAAGGTCACCATTACTTGGTTAACCCATGCCAATTATCAGCTTCGTAACTCTCCTGGTTTCAGAGGAGATGTAGGGAATTAAAAATGCACCATAACATGACTATGAAACTGTGAAAGAAATCTTTTCAAAAACCTAATGACTGAAACACAAAGACAGCTAGTGGGCAAAATGGATTCTACCATTCTTCCAGCAATACTCCCAAATATCATGGCAGAGAACCGGCAAAATTGGGTTTCCAACATTATACTGAATGATTTAACCCACTAGGTTTCCCCAATGATCCTAACTTGAAAAGGACATGAAAATAACTTACAAAAGGCTTTTAAGTAAATGAAACATTTTATTATTCATTTACAAACTCTAAGTTTGGCCAGAACAGCTATATTTTTGGATACTGTTGTCACACACAGTGCAATAGAAACAAACATATGTCCTCAATCCTCACTTGAATCAGAAGATGCCGACTTAGACCTGCTGGCTCTGCTTCCACGTTTATCTGCCATCTCGGGAGGGGAGGCAGTCTTTGCCTGACTGTTCATCTGGGCTATAATGGACATGGAACATCATTACATCAACCAGATTTGATTTTAAAATGGTCTAACAACGCAACACACAAATGTAGAGAATGGACGCAGAAAATACATCCATGGTGTCCTGAGGGACATATAATATTATTCATTGTACCCACAACACATCTATGACTTTGCTAAGTGTTGCATTCATGTCCTGAAAACACATACCAAATTTGGTTTCCTATCAATAACGGTTTCTGAAAACAATCTGTCCCCATTGGTGATATCATGCACTAAGTCAAGAAACACATGACAAGGGCCATAACAGTGTAACAAATTGTAACATGGTTTCTGTTTCGGACTCCATCAAGGCATTCATGTCCTGAAGAGACATAACAAATTTGGTTTCCCTATCAATAACGGTTTCTGAGAAAATCTGGCCCCATCATGTCGGACGGACGGAGCTCAAACCAATATCTCTCTCCTACTTCGTGACGGGGAATAATAACTTAATGACAGCATTGTTTGACACTAATCAAACAACATTTCTAACAGTCCATGAATGTCTGCCCAGTCCATTTACAACACAAAGATCAAGGTTGTAAGTACTAGAAGACAATGAATGTACATATGTTGATATGTTTTCGTAATATTCAGAGGGTCTGTAATGAGTAGATAATATGCCTCGTGGTAGATGCAGTGTGCAGTTGCTCACAGCCACAGACAGCAATAACAGTCCCCCAGGATGTTACTATACAAACTGTACCCAGCGATATATTACAGCATCATGTGTAGGACTCTTCTCCAGCTACCTGAAGGTGTGTGTGAGCCTCCTTGTGACTGCGACAGATGCAGAGCCAGGTCTTGAGAATCAGGACAACATTCTGCACAGACCACTAGAACAAAACATTTAATTAATGAGAGCAAAACCAGTCAGTACTGAGGCTGAAGGAGTGAGTATGTTATTACGCCACTTTTAGCAATATTCCCGCAATGTCATGGCAGGGGACACCAGAAATGGACTTCACACATTGTACCCATGTGGGGGAATCAAACTCGGATCTTCAGAGTGACGAGCAAACGCTTTAACCACCAGGCTACTCCACTGCCCCTTAGATTGAAGGAAAGTTCTTGTTTGACTAGTTAGGTCGTGCAATAACCATCTATATAAACATGATAAAACTTAAAATCAGCTGTATCCGGCACAGGCTGGCATGACAGGGGTCATGTTCAGTCCATCTTACAAAAGGATCCATTTTGATATTTTTACCTTACAGAGATAGATTAGATACTATGTGACACGAAGTTTGCAAAGGAGAAATATCATGGTTAGGTTGTTGTTTAACGCCACACTCAGCAATATTCCAGCTATATGGCGGTGGTTTGTAAAATATTTGAGTCTGGACCAGACAATCCAGTGATCAACACCATGACCATTGATCTATGCAACTGGGATATGATGACGTGTCAACCAATTCAGCGAACCTGACCACCAGATCATGTTAGTCGCCTCTTGAGACAAGCATGGGTTGCTGAAGACCAATTCTAACCCGGTTCTTCATGGGTAAAAAATATCACAGAATTTCAGCTTAAGAAGGGCAGGGAATCAGAAGTGAAGTCAGTCATATATTGCGGACTATAATCAGGAATCAGGATGAATCTGGGATATAAACCAGCAGTCAGTGCTTATGTTGATGCCTTAGACCACTCAACCACCTGTACCTTGCTGTACAGACCAAATACAACAGATTCTGTACAACAGACTACGAACAAGAAACATCAAGCTCCACTGGTCAATGTTAAGAGTTGTAGGCTCTGTAGCCACTGTACAAATAAATATGACAAAAGAATTGCATACAATAATTTCTCAGTCTGTGTTGTGAAAGTTTTAACTTATATTTGACAGCGATATATTTTATGTCATTGAACTCCTCCTGGGTGAATAAACAATCATGTAAGATCAAGATCAACTTCATGTCCTGCAAGGGCAGGTAACTCTTAGGCTCATGTTAAATTGCTTCTTCTGAAATTGAAAACTCGTGAAGATCTGGGTTAGAATTGGTCTTCAGCAACCCATGCTTGTCTGTACTTGTGATGATCTGAGTAAATATTGGTACTCAGCAACCCATGCTTGTCTGTACTTGTGATGATCTGAGTAAATATTGGTACTCAGCAACCCATGCTTGTCTGTACTTGTGATGATCTGAGTAAATATTGGTACTCAGCAACCCATGCTTGTCTGTACTTGTGATGATCTGAGTAAATATTGGTACTCAGCAACCCATGCTTGTCTGTACTTGTGATGATCCGAGTAAATATTGGTACTCAGCAATCCATGCTTGTCTGTACTTGTGATGGTCCGAGTAAATATTGGTACTCAGCAATACATGCTTGTCTGTACTTGTGATGATCTGAGTAAATATTGGTACTCAGCAACCCATGCTTGTCTGTACTTGTGATGATCTGAGTAAATATTGGTACTCAGCAACCCATGCTTGTCTGTACTTGTGATGATCCGAGTAAATATTGGTATTCAGCAACCCATGCTTGTCTGTACTTGTGATGATCTGAGTAAATATTGGTATTCAGCAACCCATGCTTGTCTGTACTTGTGATGATCCGAGTAAATATTGGTCTTCAGCAACCCATGCTTGTCTGTACTTGTGATGATCTGAGTAAATATTGGTACTCAGCAACCCATGCTTGTCTGTACTTGTGATGATCTGAGTAAATATTGGTCTTCAGCAACCCATGCTTGTCTGTACTTGTGATGATCTGAGTAAATATTGGTACTCAGCAACCCATGCTTGTCTGTACTTGTGATGATCTGAGTAAATATTGGTCTTCAGCAACTCATGCTTGTCTGTACTTGTGATGATCTGAGTAAATATTGGTACTCAGCAACCCATGCTTGTCTGTACTTGTGATGATCTGAGTAAATATTGGTACTCAGCAATACATGCTTGTCTGTACTTGTGATGATCTGAGTAAATATTGGTACTCAGCAACCCATGCTTGTCTGTACTTGTGATGATCCGAGTAAATATTGGTACTCAGCAATCCATGCTTGTCTGTACTTGTGATGATCCGAGTAAATATTGGTATTCAGCAACCCATGCTTGTCTGTACTTGTGATGATCTGAGTAAATATTGGTATTCAGCAACCCATGCTTGTCTGTACTTGTGATGATCCGAGTAAATATTGGTACTCAGCAACCCATGCTTGTCTGTACTTGTGATGATCCGAGTAAATATTGGTACTCAGCAATCCATGCTTGTCTGTACTTGTGATGATCCGAGTAAATATTGGTACTCAGCAATCCATGCTTGTCTGTACTTGTGATGATCCGAGTAAATATTGGTCTTCAGCAACCCATGCTTGTCTGTACTTGTGATGATCTGAGTAAATATTGGTATTCAGCAACCCATGCTTGTCTGTACTTGTGATGATCCGAGTAAATATTGGTACTCAGCAACCCATGCTTGTCTGTACTTGTGATGATCTGAGTAAATATTGGTACTCAGCAACCCATGCTTGTCTGTACTTGTGATGATCTGAGTAAATATTGGTCTTCAGCAACACATGCTTGTCTGTACTAGTGATGATCCGAGTAAATATTGGTACTCAGCAACCCATGCTTGTCTGTACTTGTGATGATCTGAGTAAATATTGGTCTTCAGCAACTCATGCTTGTCTGTACTTGTGATGATCCGAGTAAATATTGGTATTCAGCAACCCATGCTTGTCTGTACTTGTGATGATCTGAGTAAATATTGGTACTCAGCAACCCATGCTTGTCTGTACTTGTGATGATCTGAGTAAATATTGGTACTCAGCAACCCATGCTTGTCTGTACTTGTGATGATCTGAGTAAATATTGGTACTCAGCAACCCATGCTTGTCTGTACTTGTGATGATCCGAGTAAATATTGGTCTTCAGCAACCCATGCTTGTCTGTACTTGTGATGATCTGAGTAAATATTGGTCTTCAACAACCCATGCTTGTCTGTACTTGTGATGATCTGAGTAAATATTGGTACTCAGCAACCCATGCTTGTCTGTACTTGTGATGATCTGAGTAAATATTGGTCTTCAGCAACTCATGCTTGTCTGTACTTGTGATGATCCGAGTAAATATTGGTACTCAGCAACCCATGCTTGTCTGTACTTGTGATGATCTGAGTAAATATTGGTACTCAGCAACCCATGCTTGTCTGTACTTGTGATGATCTGAGTAAATATTGGTATTCAGCAACCCATGCTTGTCTGTACTTGTGATGATCCGAGTAAATATTGGTACTCAGCAACCCATGCTTGTCTGTACTTGTGATGATCTGAGTAAATATTGGTATTCAGCAACCCATGCTTGTCTGTACTTGTGATGATCTGAGTAAATATTGGTACTCAGCAACCCATGCTTGTCTGTACTTGTGATGATCTGAGTAAATATTGGTATTCAGCTACCCATGCTTGTCTGTACTAGTGATGATCTGAGTAAATATTGGTCTTCAGCAACCCATGCTTGTCTGTACTTGTGATGATCTGAGTAAATATTGGTACTCAGCAACCCATGCTTGTCTGTACTTGTGATGATCTGAGTAAATATTGGTATTCAGCAACCCATGCTTGTCTGTACTTGTGATGATCCGAGTAAATATTGGTACTCAGCAACCCATGCTTGTCTGTACTTGTGATGATCTGAGTAAATATTGGTACTCAGCAATCCATGCTTGTCTGTACTTGTGATGATCTGAGTAAATATTGGTATTCAGCAACTCATGCTTGTCTATACTTGTGATGATCTGAGTAAATATTGGTCTTCAGCAACACATGCTTGTCTGTACTTGTGATGATCTGAGTAAATATTGGTATTCAGCAACCCATGCTTGTCTGTACTTGTGATGATCTGAGTAAATATTGGTATTCAGCAATCCATGCTTGTCTGTACTTGTGATGATCTGAGTAAATATTGGTATTCAGCAATCCATGCTTGTCTGTACTTGTGATGATCTGAGTAAATATTGGTACTCAGCAACCCATGCTTGTCTGTACTTGTGATGATCTGAGTAAATATTGGTACTCAGCAATCCATGCTTGTCTGTACTTGTGATGATCTGAGTAAATATTGGTATTCAGCAATCCATGCTTGTCTGTACTTGTGATGATCTGAGTAAATATTGGTATTCAGCAACCCATGCTTGTCTGTACTTGTGATGATCTGAGTAAATATTGGTATTCAGCAACCCATGCTTGTCTGTACTTGTGATGATCTGAGTAAATATTGGTATTCAGCAACCCATGCTTGTCTGTACTTGTGATGATCTGAGTAAATATTGGTACTCAGCAACCCATGCTTATCTGTACTTGTGATGATCTGAGTAAATTTTTTTTTACTCAGCAACCCATGCTTGTCTGTACTTGTCATGATCTGAGTAAATATTGGTACTCAGCAACCCATGCTTGTCTGTACTTGTGATGATCTGAGTAAATATTGGTACTCAGCAATCCGTGCTTGTCTGTAATATATTGAGTAAATATTGGTATTCAGCAATCCATGCTTGTCTGTACTTGTGATGATCTGAGTAAATATTGGTATTCAGCAATCCATGCTTGTCTGTACTTGTGATGATCCGAGTAAATATTGGTATTCAGCAACCCATGCTTGTCTGTACTTGTGATGATCTGAGTAAATATTGGTATTCAGCAACCCATGCTTGTCTGTACTTGTGATGATCTGAGTAAATATTGGTACTCAGCAACCCATGCTTATCTGTACTTGTGATGATCTGAGTAAATTTTTTTTTACTCAGCAACCAATGCTTGTCTGTACTTGTGATGATCTGAGTAAATATTGGTACTCAGCAACCCATGCTTGTCTGTACTTGTGATGATCTGAGTAAATATTGGTACTCAGCAACCCATGCTTGTCTGTACTTGTGATGATCTGAGTAAATATTGGTATTCAGCAATCCATGCTTGTCTGTACTTGTGATGATCTGAGTAAATATTGGTATTCAGCAATCCATGCTTGTCTGTACTTGTGATGATCCGAGTAAATATTGGTACTCAGCAATCCATGCTTGTCTGTACTTGTGATGATTCAAGTAAATATTGGTACTCAGCAACCCATGCTTGTCTGTACTTGTGATGATCTGAGTAAATATTGGTACTCAGCAACCCATGCTTGTCTGTACTTGTGATGATCTGAGTAAATATTGGTACCCACAATCCATGCTTGTCTGTACTTGTGATGATCTGAGTAAATATTGGTACTCAGCAACCCATGCTTGTCTGTACTTGTGATGATCTGAGTAAATATTGGTACTCAGCAACCCATGCTTGTCTGTACTTGTGATGATCTGAGTTAATATTTGTACTCAGCAATCCATGCTTGTCTGTACTTGTGATGATCTGAGTAAATTTTTTTTTACTCAGCAACCCATGCTTGTCTGTACTTGTGATGATCCGAGTAAATATTGGTCTTCAGCAACCCATGCTTGTCCTAAGAGGCGATTAACATGATCGAGTTGACACTTGTCATCGTATCCCAATTGCGTAGATCAATGCTCATGATGCTGATCACTTGATTTTTGGGTCCTGACTCGATTATTGAAAATAAGCATGAGTGAATTTTTTATGCTAATTTCAGCCTTTTACTTCAGAAACCAACATTTCATAATTCCATGAAAAGTCCAAAGGTATCTGCAATCTGGGACTACGACAAGGGTTTCTGTGACAACTCAAAGACCAAATAATGACAGCTCAGAGTCTTATTGAAGTCCACAAAAGTTGTTTTTGTTTGTTTGTCCACATATTCATTTATATATTAACATACCTCCTTGATCCTCGCTGCTCCTGCCTGCTTCTGACACCTGCAAGAACAGTTCAAACCATCGTGAGACAGATCTAGCCCTGACCAGATGTATTTATAGTATTTTGAAAGTATATCTATTTTGTTCCATTTCAGGTTCTGTGTTTAACCAATATGTACAATTAGTGGTTAGGATAATTTATATCTTTCATGTACTGAACCTGTAACAAACCCAAGCCATGACAAGGTCAAATGATTGGCCAAGCTAAGCCTCTGACCTAACCCTTTGTCTCACTGAATGCAGTCAGTCTGCAACACTCTTAACAAAGACAACAAACCATTCAAGTCAGGTGAGTGTGAATATGTTGTATGTTCTAGCAAAATGGTGCAGTACATAAAACCTGTTATATGAAAGTTCACTAAACAGCCTAAAAGTCTTTCATATCAAACTAAATCTCTGCTATAACTTATTTCAGTAAATGTGGAAAATAAGCTTTTGAACTGTGAGCTTTCATAGTTAGTAAGTAACCTTTCTGACCCTTATGGGGGCGATGGGGTACCCTAGGGGTTAAAGCATTCACTCGACAGGCCAAAGGCACTGGTTCTCGATTCCCCACATGGGTAGTACAATGAGTGTAGCCCATTTCTGTGGTCCCCCGCCGTGATATTGCTGGCATATTGCTGAAAGAGGTGTAAAACTAAACTCACTCACTCACTCTGCCCCTTCTGAATGAGAAGTGTGAGAGATAGTGTTGGGAATCGGAAACCAAATCCACTATCGATCATCGGAGGATTGTGGTGAACGATTTTCAATTATAATCGAAATATATACATTTTTAATCAAATCACCAATTTGAAGGGTTTTTTCCCTTGTTTTTTTCTAATAAATGTTCCTTATAACTAATACTGTCATGCAATGAAATGCATGCATGCAAGAAAGACACTGGAAATGTAATTAAACAATAAAAGTAGTTAAAATTTTACAATGCGCATAGCTTTACGCTGTTGAGCGCATGTTTGTTCGTGAATATTCGACAAATTTAATCGCTAGTTTACTTCATTCAAGTGTGTTAAACTAAAACAACAAAATTCCAAATAATTGAAAATATGTTTTTTTACAATCGATAATCATTTTTAATCCTTCTTTCAATCGATTTTCGATCGATTTTCGATCATCGGAACACCACTCGTGAGAGATGTTTGGCAGAATAGGATATGCTTTAATTGCATTTTCAGCTACATGACCTAACATACAAGTACATTATGTTATTCTGGATATGCTCTGATACCATGTCTCATGCACAATATAAGCACACTTTGTGTGAACCATGATTAGTCTGTTTCATACATCCCACCAAAACAGCATGATCATGTAAAACATACAATTTTGAATCAATTTTCCACATAAATTGAAACGTGCTGTACCTTTGACTGTGAGGGCCCCCTGCTCTGTGTATGCTGTGACGGCCCCCTGCTGTCTGCTGGCTGTGACACTGTGTATACGAGGTGCAGTGATTCCCCTTGCGTCTCCTCCCCTGCCAGAGTCCTTATGTTGGTGTCCAGCAAAACCACCTCATCCTAAAACAGGAAATACACAACAATTGCTTGCCAGACTTGTGTCCTATAAGAATCCGTGTTCAGAAGTAATCACTCTTATAACACAACTGCTACTACTTTTTGCAACAGCATATCAAGTACGAGCGAAAGCACTAACAGTATTACAAATACATGGTCAACATAATTGTTCAGATAAAAATGCCATTCTCTGATCCCACATGGATAACAAACCTCTTCCTTTTCAGCAGCATTGTCCTCCACTGAGACTACTTGGTCAGGATTTGTATCTTCTACTGTGATTGGGTCATCAGTATTTGACGGAGGTGGCAATCTTTCACGACAGTCCACCGAGTACCTCTTGGCATGCTGGACAGGAAAACCAAAGGTAATTTAGTAGTAGACAGGATGGTGGTACTGGACCAGGGTAATCTAAAGCTTCATTTAATAGATGAAGCCTTAGTCGGACCCTTCCTATTACCATCTACTACAGTAATCTAAAGCTTCATCTATTAAATGAAGCCTTAGTCGGACCCTTCCCATTACCATCTACTACAAAGCTTTATTTCATAAAATAAGACTTTAGTCGGGGACCCTTATCTCTTGCCTCTATGTCGTGTTGACGGGAGGTAATACTGTGTCATACGGTACGATCAATAATTCTTCTCTCACAAACCCCCTCCCTGGCCCATCCCTCAAGTAGTTCGTTTTTATCTATGTCCACGCGTACGCTATGTCACGCTGGCCTCGATGAAACAGTTTAACGTGAATCGCCTATGATCTCTTTGGTGTTGTTGAATAAAGGCTTGCTGGGCCTTTTGTATCCCCTGTTCTATGTACTTTTTTCTCGCCCTCGCTGATAGTAGACTTACGAGACTTGGATCGAATCTCTTGTTTCATTTTGTCATATTTTGTGAGTTCAGAGAGGATTGAACGAAACTCCTCCTCTGAGATCTTACTGTCAGTGAGTGCCGTGGAAATACGCCACTCACCGTGTTCAGCTTTGCTTCGCCAGAACCCTGATTTCATCGTGGTTTCAATGCTTTTACGATGCAGTCTGCGGATACAAGCTTAAGCCCCAACCCCAACACCCCTGTCACCCCAGCCGTTATTTCGAGCCCCATCACTATAGGTGCGCCACGATGGTAGCTAACAACCCAACACCTGCCACCCCTAGGCCCATGCTGGCTGCCATAAGGGTAGTATCAGTCCCGCCCACGCATTGAAAGCTCTATGGTACTTTTATATAGTGCTTTCCGCTTATCGCGGTCTTGTTCTAGTTGACGCTTTACATCACATAATTGTTCTCAAGCGGAACCCGCTTCACGGTTTCCAGGGTCTTCACTACTTCATCTATGCCTGGGTACAGTCCCATCCTATAATATATATTACAAAAGATATTTTAATTGGGTATCAGTTAATAGTTGGTCAACATACCTGAGGTTTATAAGGCCTATGTTCTTGGTTAGGTAATATAGGGAAATTCAATAGGTAACTTTTGTTCTATACTGAAGCATAGAGGGGTTTATTAAGGGGCAGCAACCCTCCGTGGACCGAGTCCCGCCGTGATGACGATACTACAATGGTGGCCATTAAATGAACCAATAGATAAGTCTATTATAACCCCAATGTAAAATACCCCATATTGGAGACACATCGCCGCCTTTAAAAAGAGTTTTATGATTAATGTGGAGCCTGGACGATAGATATATTAGATAGTGGGTCAGTGGGTGTTAACTCTGCTCCAACTCCGGTGTATCTAACATGTATTCCATATGGCCTGGGATTCGAAACTCTTATAGGTTGAGAACCCTGAGGTTGAAACCCCCGAGAAATATACCACTGTTCTTAATTTCGTGATATCCCTAGTGATAGACCCACCACTACTTAAAAGAGATATAAGGTGAGGTGAGGGGTTGTTGACTATCCATTTAGGCTCTTTAAAATCTGATAACGCACACCCGCCTATACACGTTGTCTTTGAAGTGCAGGATGTATAAGGTGTCTTCCTCACCAGGCTGATCGAACCCATCCGTCCCTAGATCGTTAAGTGTAGTGTTGGGGTGAAGCCAAGACATTGCTATAATACTATTACGATATAATTTCCAACTAGTGTTCAGGGATATAGCTCAACCCCATAATATATTTTAATTGGGTTTCATTTAACCTTTGATTAATGTACTTAAAGCCGATAATACTTAGATTAACGCGGCGTGTAAAAAGCTGGGTCTCAGCTCTACTCCCATTAAGGAGACGAACCCCATCAAGACTTGGTACAGGGTCGCTTTCCGATACCTTAATAATACAACAACGCTGGTTACTAGCCCCTGTCTTCCCAACGATAATCATATCATCTATAATGTAAAGATACTCACCAGGTGTATCTCCGAGATAGACGCCTATGATAAATGTAAAGTTTTTTCCGACATTTCTAAAACCTCTTGGTAATTGAGTAATTTTATCTCTGTCTTTACTTTCCCACTGGAAGCTAACATGTTGCCCGAGTGGTCTGGTATTGGTACGACTTGTACACTAGATTCGAACTAACGATCCTATAATCATACCGTTGTTCCTAATCTCGGAGATAGTATTATTTTGTTTCAAGGAGATATAAGGTGAGGTGAGGGTTAAGTTGACTAACCATTCAGGCTCTTTAAAATCCGATAACGATTAACCCGCCTATACACATTGTTTTTGAAGTGCAGGACGCATAAGGTGTCTTCCTCACCAGGTTGATCGAATCCCTCCGTGTCCCCTAAGTCGCTAATCGTAGTGTTGGGGCTTAATCCAAGACATTGCTATAATAATATTATTACGAGATAATTTCCAACTGGTTTTCTGATAATAGTTCAGGGTGCACTTCACCCCCATGAAGTGTATGTTGTCGGTAGGAAGATCTTGGTTAGTGATATAGTGTCTTCCACGCACCACGGTGACACCCTGCAGACTGGTTTTGGAGTCGACACCCACCCGCACGTAAACGCTGCAAACGCGGATACTGTTGTTGTTTCCCACCGAGTTTGACCCCTTCACGATCTCTACATCATCCCGCCGATGGTTCCCCTAGGTAGACTTGGATGATCAGTGTTGAGTTCGCCGGTAGACTCTCCAGGATCCTGACCACACCTTCAATTCAGACACCAACTGCAATACCACGCTTTGCATCCCCGCTTTACTCGATAGCATGTGGGCTGCCATACTGGCGAAGTGGGCTGATGACTACGCCACGCCTCTGAGTCGGGATGTAAGCCACGAAAGCAGGGTTCCGTTGTTCACTTAACTTTGTTTAGGTGGTTGTCTTTGTTATCCGTGAACACGAGGGGGAGCCGAGCCTAATATTGAGAAACCAGTCGACTTTACCCGTAATAACACCCACTTGTCATCATCGGTGAAGACGAAGCGATATGGTTTGTTTCGGGCGACGGTAGTGCTCTCAACATCGGTTAAGTCGAACAGTTTGCCCCCTAACGATGGGTATATCATCCAATTATCACCCGTGTTGACAAGGGTGTACTTAGTGTTGACTACCGCCTTTGAGGTATCTATTATATCACTTAGGTTGCTAGTACCACCGAAACTTCAACGCTTATAAATGCTGTTTTAAGTTGCAAGGCGACACTTTACCATCTACTCCGGTCGTCGAATCCGCTGCGGTGTCCCCTCAGATCGAGATCCCCACATTGATGCATTTTTCAACTTCATTCCGGACCTTGTGCGCTGGTCATTTTATGTGCAGCTGCTACGCTTTGAGGTATCCTATATTCACGAGATTATGATTTATATCTAACACCGATATTATCAGCTCAGGGATGTTGCCCTGGGTTAACCTCTTATACTGCCGCTGTGAAAACGACTCGGTTCTGCCGCCGTTGTATTTCTCCGCTTTCACCGGTACGGCTCTCAGTATAGTGGAAGGGTGACCCCTTGAATGTTGTCCGTTGTGCTAACCTGGCTGAGATGAATGCACAGCCTCGCACGGTACTAGGTCGGTAACTTCGCGCCTGTGGCGGTAGTCGCTGGTTTTATCTCTTCAGGCTGTATACCGAAAGTGTCCTCGCCAGTGGTCGATCGAGCCTCAAGGAGTTTCTTCCGTTGTTGATTAACACCACTGTACCGCTTTGAGTCGCTCATCTTGAGTTCGGCCCCAATGGTTTGAATACCTCGCCGCTAGAGAGCACACGCTGTAGTAACCATCAATTATCTTGTTGCTAGCACCACCTACTAACAGTTTATTGTTGCTAGCGCTGATGTTAGTCCATCGTGGTAGGTAGGTTATATCGCACAGTGCGACTTCGAAGTTGACCCGACGCGGTTATCGATCGCGTAAGGCCAGCTGAACGGCCTCGCCGCTATTCCTGGGAGTGTTATGTACATGTTATATAAACTCATTATATAATAGTTTTAAAACATGAAGATCGTGGTCGCTGATGGATTGTATTTCTCGACGCCCAGTTCATAGATGTATTCGATAAGTATAAGTTTTCGTGACTAACGCTAAGACAGTGCACGCTTTGGTTCAACAACCCGATGCAGTTCTGGCAGAATCAACTCAACTTCGCAGTGTGGTGCGCTACAACGGGTGTGGTGTATCCGACACTCGGGCGTGGACCGCTGAGTCAGTCTGTGTTCACGCTTCACGGTACTACCAGGTCAGGCGATCCTCAAAGAGATCAGCCCACCTCACAAGAAAAAGCGTGGAATGCAGTAAACAACCAATACGATAGACGGGCCTACTTAACGTATTTGCAAATCTAATTCGAATCGACACTAAAACGGATTGGCGTTTGCCGGACCGAACCACGGATTGGGTATTCCTATCGCTCACAACATGCCTCTCGTGGAAGCCAGCAAGAAGTTGCAAGATTGGGGATACAAGTCATATCATATCACAACAAACGAAAGTGGGATGACCGCTACATGGCATTCGACGACAGCAAGGATTACCGAGTTTGGAGGTTCGAGCAGGGGTGACTGGAAAAATTCATGTTGGAATCGAAGGGTATACTCGCCGGCACCGAACGCTTGAATGACTCGATTCGAACGCACGCGATGGGCACTGTTGCGCGCAGACGCAAACGCTGCTCCAATATCCTAGGCAAAGGGACTGCTTACGACGCACAGAAACAATTCGTTGTCAACGTAGAGGATGCTATCAATGCTCCAGTTGATCTCCCGAGTGCCATCAAACGCTACCAAGACGTGTTGGAATACGCCAGGTCGAAAGTCGACTACGGTTCGACGGGACTGTACATGGCCCGGTTTATATGCAACTGAGAATAAAGAAAGTGGTGGGGTACAACAACGAAATAATTGTAGCCACGGGCGACCAAAAGTTACGCCAACCTCGATGTCAACGCCCCCACGCCCCA